CCCCCCCCCCCCCCCCCTCCCCCCCCCCTCTCCCCCCCCTCTCCCTCCCCTCTCCCTCTCCCTCTCCCTCCCCTCTCCCTCTCCCTCTCCCTCCCCTCACCTACCCTCTGGGCGGGTATTGCTGGGAATATTTTTATAATTGGATTTGTGCTTCGGAAATTGTCAGACGTGTTATTGAAGACAGATTTTGGAACGCGTTTAAGAGATGATTCGATGCGAAAAGATGCAGTTCGTTTTCCAATGGAAATTTTCCCCGATTTCTCATGCAGGACCCCGGTCCATATCTGTATGGAGAAAGGTGATCTCGATGTCCTTGGGATGCTGTTGGCCGCGCCGGGCGTCGATCTGAACGTGAAGGCGGCGAACGGGGAGTCGCCGCTGTGGATCGCGCTCATGTGAGGATGTGAGGTTTCCGCCGCGAACGTCGCGAGTCGAACGGACTGAGGAATTTTTTTTTTTTTATTGACAGGAGGGGGGACCTGAGCGCGGCCGGGGAGCTGATCCGGTGCGGGGCGGCGGTGGACCACACGCTGGTCTTCGTCTGCGCCACGAGGGGGATGGAGGACGTCGCCCTCTTTCTCCTCCGGAATGGGGCGCCGTGTCGATATGTCAGGGTTTTTTGTTTTTTTATTTATTGGGGTTTTGTTTGGGGTTTGGTGGTCTGACGAGGTGGGTGAGGATGCGATTTTCAACATTTTCAGGAGCGAGGATTCGCGTTTTTTTTTTCAGACTGAAGAATGATGATTGAAGCGTGTTCGTCTATTTAGAGCATTACCGTTTAACCTGCTGTAATTAAAATAAAACACATTAGGAGGAATTGTTGCCCTGAAAATGTTTGAAAATGCATTTCCGCCCGTTCCGTCGGACGATCGACGACGCGCGACTCGGTTGATCCCGACCGCCCGCGTTTCGTTTTCCCCAGGAGAACCCGGAGGAGAACGCCCTCGAGGTCGCGGCCGCGAGGGGGCAGGTGAGGCTGCTGGAGGAGTTGCTGAAGGGCGGGGCGGAGGCGTTCCGGGGGAATCCCGCGGGGGAGTGTGCGCTGCATGTGGCCATCAGGGAGGGGCAGGAGGATGCTGCGAACAGGATCCTGCAGATCGGGCTCGATGGTTCGTTTCGAATGAGGTGGATTTTTTTTTTCTGGTGCGTTTTTGAATGTGGGAGGATTGATACCTTTGGCACGATTATGCAAAATTGTATTTTTTTGGGGGGGGGGTTTATTTGTAAAATTTTATTTTTTGCGTAATTGCCTTTTTTTTGCGGGATTGCAGGATCCGATTTGACCGCCTTCTCGGAGCAGAGCAAAAGCCTCCTCGGCCTGGCGGTGAAGAACTCCATGTTCGCGATCGCGGACGAGCTGGTCTCGCGGGGGGCGCGCCTGGACCCGTCGCTCGTGGAGGCCGCCCTCCGGGACAAGAACGAGAAGGCGGCACTCTACCTGATCGAGAAAGGGGAGAGCGCGGAGGTGGTGTCGTCGGGGGCGCTGTGCCTGGCCGTGGAAGGCGGCCTCGCCGTGGCCGTGGACGCGCTCTGTCGGAAGGGGATCCCGTTGGGGAACATCGAGGAGCCGCTCTGGTTGAGTCTGCAGCGGGGGTTCTTCCAGGTCGCGTCGGCGCTGCTGGCGTGAGTTACGATTTTTTACATTTATGATATATATTATTTTATATATTTATTTTAATGAATTTTTTTTTATTTTAAGGCATAAGACGGGCGACGAGAAGGTGGCGGAGAAGCTGTTACCTCTGGCGATCCGTGAGGGCCGGGAAGAGGCGGCGTGCTTCCTCGTCCAGCAGTGAGTCCTTCCCACCTTTCCCTTTTGCTTCGACGGAGATGCATCGAACGGGATGGATCGATCGGGACGCGTGGGGTTCTTGCAGCGTGGTGGACGTGGACTCGGTGAACGGGGGCGAGTCGCCGCTGCAGCTGGCCTGCGAGAAGGGGCTGCTCGAGGTCGTGCAGATCCTCCTGGCCTGCGGGGCCGACGTGAATCTCACCGTGAGTGGCGGTCGTGGTTGCGAGGAGGGCCTGCGTGTTTTTTTTTCGGGGAGATTTCATGTTTTATTATAGTTTTTGTCGAGTTTTTCTCACTAGAGAGTGAGTAATGGAATATCCATTACAATTACAACTGTAAAAAGTAAAAATTTTTTGGTGGATTATGTTAATTGTTGCCATGCAGGAAAATGAAGTTAACGCTCAGAGTTTACATTTAGTTTGAACGTGAGCGAGTTAAAAATGCAAAATGTCGATTGTTAAAAACGAAGAAATCCAACTTTCTGATCCGATTTCTAAACTGAAACTCACAAAAATATTGGCAATTGTTTTCGTGATGGGAGTCTCTCTCTCAGTCTGGTAGTATTTTTAGTCATTGTATCGTAATTTGCTACTTCCAAAATTACTGCTGGAAAAATTTTTTGTTTTATCATGATAATAGATCGGTAACGTCGTTGCCCTATAGCAAAGCGAATGTCTGTTCTTGGCAGACGACTACAAATTCGGTCGGTTTCCTCGGCAGGGTCGAGATGGGGAGACGGCGCTTCATAAGGCAGTGAACATCGGGGACGGGGATCTGGTGAATATCCTCATCCAGCATCCGGGGATGAACTCGAACGCGAAGGACCGGCGCGGGCGGACCCCGCTGGGCCTCGCCATTGCGGCGGGGAACAAGGACATCGCGCAGTCCATCGTCGATCTTTCGCCGCACTTGCTCGAAGAGGTTTCTTTTTTTTGCGGTGGCGGTTTTTATGCGAGGGATCTCGTGAGTGGAGTCGTGATCGCTCGAATTCGTCTGCAGTACGATGGTAGGGGTCGGACGCATCTCCACGACGTCGTGGCCCGGGGCGATCTGGCCGGGCTCCTCTTCCTCCTGGCGTTGAACGTGGACGTGAACAAGCCGACCGGAGACGCCGAGCGGCTCTTCCCGTTGCATCTGTCCGTCATGGCGGAGACGAATTCCCAGGTTTGTTGGAGTGTTTTCGGTGCGGGGCGGGATCGTTGGCGGCGGGTGGTGAGGTGGTGTCGTTTTTCGATGTAGACGGAGAGCATCGTTCGGCACCTCTTGTTGGCCGGTGCCGATCCGAACGCTCGTTCGGCGAGACACCTGACGCCGCTGCATTTGAGTACCGGGGCACCGGGGATCTTGGAGGCACTCTTGGACGGGGGGGCGGACGCCATGGCCACGGACGACGAGCACGATACCGTGCTTCATGTTGCCATGAAGCAGGGGAGGCTCTCGGCGATTCGCATTCTTCTTCGGGTTCCGGGCATCGATCCTTGGGTGTGTCGCGGTTCGTCCTGTTGGCGGGGGTCGGGTTCGCGATGGGGGTCGGGGGATGATGAGAGAGATGTTTTGTTTTTTTTTGGGTGGTTGCAGGCCGTGAATCTTCGAGGGCACACTCCGCTTCACACGCTGGCCAGATATGGGGCGGATAATGCGGGGGCCATCCTGGATGCTCTACTCTCTTCGTTCCGCAGTTATCCCATCGACCAGCAGGACTTGGGTGGAAACACTGGTCTGTTTTTTTTTTTTGTTTTTTTTTTTTAATATCTGTATTTCCTTTTTTTGTTCTCTTGGGGGTCGAGTCCCAGAGGAGGGGGCCCATCGGCACTCGTTGGAATCGGGGAAGGTGCAAAAAGGTGTCTTGCTTACCCCCAAGCTCCCACTACCGTTTCTTAGGCGACTCGGTTGCCTTTTACCATGTTTTACCCTTATTGGAATGTGGGCATTCGACACGAAATGTATGGGTGTTACAAGGATACAAAGATACGGGGAAAAGTTCACGATTTCGACCAGGGATGTGCAACCCGCGGCCCGCGGACCTGCTTCTTGCGGCCCGGTGATGCATGATGGGATGACAGATGAGTATCTTTGCTGCCGAAGGTCCATCGCAACTTTGGTCATCCCGTAGTAACAAGAAGTCGACCTTTCTTCGAATTTTTTCTCACGCGGGCGGTGCTACGTGCGTCCCGAGGCAGAAGGCTCTCGATGCCGAAGGCTATTTTTTGGACGTTGCAATTTCCTCGGGGTGGGAAGGAGGTAAGGATCATCGGCCGATCGGCGCGACCTCGTGCCCTCGTATGCCCCGAGGACGAAAGAGGGGAAAGAGGGGGAGGCTTTTCTTTTGAATTCTGTGGCCCGCGTCGAGAGTCACGTGTTTCCGTGCGGCCCACTGGCGGGAAAGGTTGCACACCCCAGATTTAGACCTTGGGAATGGAAATAATCGTTTTAAAATCTGCATCGGAGGCCTCCCCGTTTCACTTCCCCCTACGGAATGCTCCATCCTTCCGACCTCTTCTGGGACGTTCCGATGCCCTTCGACGCGAGTCGGAATCTCTGATTCGTTCTTGCGATCGCGTCTAGCGCTGCTGTTGGCCTACATGCGGGGTCACGTGGGGATCTGCAAGACGTTGGTGTCGGCAGGGGCCGCCCTCGCCACTTACAATCGGGACGGGATGAACATCTTCAACTTCCAACTGCCTACCCGCAGCCTCCTCCACAGGTCTCGCTGCGCTCGGCTCGTCGGTTTGGGGGTCGTTTGGAGCGAGGGGACGATATCTCTCGTGTGCTGTTGCAGGTTGTTGGACTCGCTGACCCAGGAGCCTCCTTGGGTGGATTCGGACTCCTGCATGGAATGCGGCTCGCGGTTCTCCATCACCACTCGGAAACACCACTGGTAGGATTTGCTTTCCGAATGGAAGTCGGGATCCTTGTGGTTCCGGTTTTCGTCTCGTTTCGTGGGGGGAGTCGGTGTCACCCGGGTCTTGTTTTATCGTTTCTTGCGGCAGTCGTCACTGCGGTCGGGTGCTGTGTCGCAAGTGCTCGGACAAGGAGGTTGCGATCCTCAAGTTCGGGTTGCAGAAGCCGGTGCGAATCTGTGCCGTCTGCTACAAGACGCTCACTCAGGGCATCTGAATCCATCCTGTTGCTTGCTTGCTTTTTTTTTAAATATTCCATGCTGCCATTGATTTTTATACAGAATATGTATGTGGCCGTTACGAAAGCAATACAACCATATTTACGAGACCGCCCGCTCCCTGCATGGCGTGATGCTTCGTCCACGATACACGTTGCTGGGAGATTTTCTCATATTTGAAGGAATTCTTTTATCGACGGAGGTCTTTGCCGAGCCGATGCACGAGACTCGATGCCATTAGGATACTGATTTGTTGGTATAAAATTCGGTACTGAGCCTGAACAGTTTCTGGCTATCTGTGGGATACCCAGCGTGCGATACGATCGGCAGAGGCACGAGGTCTTTAGTACGGTCGTTCTCGTCATCGACACGTGGAATAGGGAAAGAGAGAGGAAACTGATACTGTGAGACTGGATCTGTGAGCATGAAATCCATCGGTGAGCTAGCGTCGATCTTCGGTCTTTCAAGAATGAGTTGCCTGGAGAAACTCCGTGCTTTTCTGGCGATGGCGTCATGTTGCTATCTGCGCTGTATAATTAGAATCAACAGAAGAGAAGAAGGATAAACAAAAAATTCATAATTGGAAATCCCGTCGGAACGACGTACACGATATAATGATAAGCTCTTGCTTCGGGAAGTCGTCAGGTTGTGCGGTCGAATGTCCTCGTATGATTCCAAGTTTTGGTCGTGGAGGCAGTGATACCGTATTTACTCCAGTATAGTGCGCCACCGTGTATAAGACGCAGCCCCACTTTTGATGTCCCATTTCGTGTAAAAAAAAAAAAGATTCCTCGTGTATGAGGCGCACCCCCATATTTCGTGGCGAGAGGGACGTCCTCGGGGACAAGGGGGATGAGAAAGGGAAAAACCGGTCATCAGATCGGTCGAGCCTCGTTTCCCTTTCACTTTCCTGACCTTGTGTGACGGGGCACATTTCAGTCTCATCGTATCGATCTCTCCGACACATTTCATTATCCGTGAAAATGGGCAACGAACGGCGAAGTTACACTGCTGGTGAAAAACTGAAAGTGATTCAGGAAGCGAAGGAGTTTGTCATCCGCCCAAAAGGTCGAAAGTTTTCGGGCGAAAGTTGCATACGGAAGTGGATGAAGGAGGAGACGAAGTCGAGCGAGAGACTCGCATGGCCTTCCGTGGGAAAAAGGTCATCGTTTCCGGAAATTGAAAAGGAAGTGGCCGAATATGTCAAGAGAGTGAGTCCGTACTTGTGTAATAAAATCCTCGGTGAAGCATACCGTGTAACCATATCGCTTCGTTCCTAAGCATATTCATTTGGACCCTTTGTCGATTTTAGGTTTGGAAAGGATGGTCTCTGTGCAACCATAGAGATGATCCAGACGGGAGCCCGCGCAATTGCAAGGGCGAAAGGGATATTCGCATTCAGAATTGAAAGCTTCACGAGGATGGACCACGCGATTCGTGAAGCGGGCTGGATTTTCCCTTCGCCGGAAAACTTCAGTGGCGCAAAAATTTCCAAGAGACACGGAGGAGAAGATCTTAGAATTCCAAAGAAGCATCATCCGTAGAGGAAGCACTATCAGCATCTCGTGTCTCAAATCGGGAATGCCGATGGGACCGGGGTCTGGTTTGATATGCCATGTGATCGAACCGTTAAGGGAATGAGAGAAGTCCGCATGAAAACGAGCGGCGAAGAGAAGGAGAGGTGCACTGTGATGTTAGATCGTCTTGCCGATGGTACGAAGCTTCTTCCCTTCGTCATTTTCAAGCGGAAATCTCTCCCGGTTCGCACGACCTTTCCTAAAGGGGTTCGCGTCCGATGACAACCGAGAGGTTGGATGACCGAAAGTCTCACGATCGATCGGATGGGAACTGTTTGGGAGAATCGCCCGGGAGCCATTCTCGTTCGAGCGAATGGTGAATCGCGGAGCCTCCTCGTCCTTGACGGCTTCCGTGGACATGCCACTGAAGCTGCGGAGGAAAAGATGCGAGAGGGAAAGACAGAGGCGGTGGAAGTCCCAGGAGGACTAACAAGCGTTCTCCAACCACTCGATGTGAGCTTGAATCGCCCTTTCAAAGTGCACTTACGTCGATTGCTAAATGAATTTCGAATCGAGAATATTGCCAATGTGACTCCGACGGGGAAGCAGAGGAAGCCGACTCTCACACAGTTATGCGAGTTTATTCAACGCGCGTGGAGTATGGTTCATCCTGAAGCAGTGAGAAAGAGTTTCAAAACGTGTGGTATATCGAAGAGTTTCAAAACGTGTGGTATATCGAAGAGTTTCAAAACGTGTGGTATATCGAATTCACTCGATGGAACTGAAGACGATTGTCTCTGGGAAGACCCTTCCTCAGAGGATGAATGCTCCCCGAATCAAACTTCCACCCCAGATATCCCAAATTCTGACTCCGATACTGAATGAAGTGGAGAAATAACGTAGCCATCCCGACAGTTTGCATGTTATTTTTATAATTTCACTGTTCTGACTGCCTGTAGATACTGTTTCCGTCTAAATAAATGACCAATGAGTTATAGGTACGTTGGAAAAATGTTTTCGGAAAAAGAATTTTTTTTCCCCCGAGTATAAGACGCACCCCCGCATCGATCGCAGGAAAATATGTTTAAAAAATGCGCCTTATACACGAGTAAATACGGTATATTCCCGGCTGGGAGAGGGGATCCTCAGGTGGCTGGAGGCCGAGACCGCGTTCGTTTCCGTGCCCGACCGGAGGGAAAGGCGTGCCGCTTGGGTCTCTACGCGGTCTCGCGTGGCGAGTCCGGCGTTGTCGGTCGCCTGGGTGGGGAGCCGGGCGGCGTGGTGTCGATCGTGTCGATCGTGTCGATGAGGTGAGGTTGCGCGGCGACCTACGACTCGATCGATCGAGGCAGGTAAGGGTAATTTTGTCGTCGATAGGCTTTTTTTTGGGCACGAACTGGCGAGGTTTGTTTGCACCCGGCCGATTGGAGTTCGGGTTGCAGGCTCGTGCAGTTCCATTCCCGTCACTCCGTTTTGCTTCTTCTCATCTTCTTCGATGCCCTGATTCGTCTCCAAAAGCTCATGAAAATGCTAAAAAGCGGTATGTGGCACCACCGTACAGAAATTATTCATGGGGAGCGATTGCCCCCTTTCCTGGATACGCTGCTGCCATCGTGTTACACGAGGAAAGAGGACAGGGGAAATTGTTTCTCTCCGCCGCTCTCGTTATTAACCCGTGCCGGGCCTGTATCACGGCAGGAAATACCCGTCTGGAAGACCAGGAAGTGGAATAGAGGTGTGATCGGTCCCGGAAACCGAGCCGGCTCGGACGATGCGCGGTCTCCAGCGGCGCTCTTCCTCGTCGAACTCGATTAACTTTTTTGCCCTTTTGAAGAGTGTTGTTTATCGGAGCGAGAAGGAGATTCGGGATCCAGTTCGACGACATGCGGTTGTTTACTTTTCCACGCGTGGCGTCGTGTCTGAGCATAAACAAGATGTCACACCTCGGTGTTTCGATATGGATGGGAACTTTCGGGAAACGTTTATTATCGACGGAGGGTGGCACGGACCAGGTCCGTTTCGCTCGGAACCGATCTGGTTTCATAACGGGCGTTTATGGGATTATCTCCGTTAAATAGGATTCGTAAATGGGATTATTGTGGGATGAGATTAGTTTCAATTGAGCAGATCTGGTGCATGTCACCCAAAGATTGGAGAAAACGGTCTTGAAATGCACAACGAGACTCGAATCCATTTCAAATCCGCGAGTTTACGCGGTTATTTGTTCACCGATTCCTCGATCTGGCCCTCGTGGCACGAAAAGGGGGGGCAAGGGGGGGGGGGGAGTCGGTTCGAGTTGCGAAAAGCAAGATTCGGGTCGCGGAACAACGCAAAAAAGCGTATCTGGAAGATGGATGGGGAGAGCGTGTCTCTGGGAACCATAAAGGAACGCTCGACCTCGACCCTGGGATGTCATGAGGGCAGGGATGCCCAATCGCGCGTTTCGATCTTGCACCTGAAAGGGGAATCGCAAGCGTGAGGAATCGATCGGATCCGATTTGATTCTTCCCGCGACTTGCAGGCCTTTGCGATGCCGGGGGACGCCAGGTCTCCTCGGAAATTCGTGGAAAACGTGACTCGCGCGACTTGGAGATACCCATCACGTGAAATGTCTGAAAGAAACGCGTGAAGACCGTTGGATCTGTTGAGGTGAGAGCCTTGAAAGCCTTCTCCCGCCCGCAGACGATGCACTGGCGTCGCCGACCTCCCTTTGGCTCCTGTGGAACGCCCGTGGACGGTTGATAAAAGACGCAATGCGGCACGAGAAGGGCTCGCTGTCTCCACTGCGCATGCGCGCACAGGCTTGACCTTAGACCTTTTCGGGCCGTGGGTGCAGGGTTGCTCGATCGTCTGAATTCGCACTCGCAATTTATGTATCTCAGCGAGAAAAATTCCCCCGCGATGGTGATATTCGCCGGGTGAGCGAACGTCTCGTTCTGAAAGTTGAAAGCGGGAAAATGTCGAGTGGCAGCTCTCAGGCGACGAGACTGATCTAAACGCACTTTTTGCGCTGCGTGGCTTCAGCTTCATTCGGAAGATCACGGGCTGGAGTCCCCAGCTTTTTCGTTCAAGAGCCGCCACTGATAGCTTTCCGTTGCCAAAGCAGCCGGGAAAGGTTTTGACATTAATTTTTTTTTCTCAAGATTTGTATTTTACTTTATTTTTGCTTTATTTTTTAAATTCTGCTAGACCTAAAGCCCTATCGCTACTCATTTATATAATTAATTTATTAATTTACGGAGCTTACATTACATCTTGAAACTCCTTCACCACGACGAATGAAGCGGACCTATCCCGGAGAGCGAAGGATCGCCTCGCACGCGTCTCCAGCCGCTTCGCGCGAGCGTCGGAACGCGAATAATTCGCTGAGACGCCGACGAATCTGAAGACCCGTCGGCCGAGTGTCCAGCTCGCGAGGAGAGATGTCGCTGCGAGCGCTAGCACGATGTGAATGGCGACTCGCAGTGGTCACGCGGTCGGTTTTATCTCTGTTATCGGTGGCTGAAGAAGCACTTATTGGACACGAGCCCGTGCTATAAATCCCTCAAACCTAAGTCGAAACCTTTACAGAATGCCAGGATCCGGTAAAATCAGCTCATCTATTCGGTAGCCTAGCCTAGTCATGCCGAGATCGGCCGCGTCTCGTCCGGCCTGCCGTTGCGGCCAAAAACTGTCAGGCGTAGACGTACACTCGTATTCGATTGTGTGCTCTTCCAGCGCATGAGATAAAAGAAGAGCCGGGAGTGGTGCATTCCATCGAGATGCGCTGGAATTACATTCTATCCTGGCTAAAACCTATGTCTAAGCTAAGACTGCGTAAAACAAAGTAAAGCTATTTGGTGCAAGAATGGGGTAAGAGGAGGAGAAAGAGGTAGCATGTTCGCCAGTATTAGTATTCATATGTTATGGAGTAGATGGCCTGTTGGACCAAGGCTAATTTGAGCCCATACCATGTACTCCAGTGAGTTTCTACCCTAAGTGGTGTCTCTATTTCCTGTATTGCTGCTTCCCTGTAGACATTGGCATTTGGCAAAATCTACTAAGGCCTAGCCTATTTAAACCTAGGGCTGGAAGGCAAGCCTTTTTCAAAGAACTCTGATGCATCTGGGTGTCGGAACTCCTAGCATTTGACGGCGTTAGCCCTATCGTCTCAGTTGACTTTTTAGTTCTTATAGACCTGCAAGTGTATGCCACTAGTAGACTAATATGATCGATTTATTCTCCATCCAGTGAAACTAAGTTTTTATGCCGATTCAGATGGCAGGGGATATTTCACACAAGGAAGTACTGCACAATGCAACATTGCTACCAATACTTGTTTTTATGTCATGTGCTGTAGTTCTTTCATGCCCTTACTCTCATTTTGCCATAGTGTTTGGCTCATGACTATAGATCTTGGCCTACAGTGAACTCCAAATGACTTTGTGCCTCTTTGGGTTGGCCTTGTACATTCTCATGTGCAACTGACTATAACCAGGACACCAGTGCCTTTCTTGTTTTGTGGACAATCCTCCATGCATGCTGTTTTTAGGCATGCATGAGGAAATTGCAGGGGATGCTCATACTGGGCTCCTTAAACCTCCCTAACTTGATTGCTTTCATGGTGTCTGTACACCATAGTTCATTATCACCATAGAAGTAATAGTTCTTATGAAAAGTAAGTATTAGGAGGGAGTTTGGTAATTGAATCTGCAACGGTCAGCATTGGGGTGAGTCTCAAAGTACTGGAAGGTGCCTCTTAGTAGAGATGTACTTGTAGAGGGCTGGCATGAAAAAGGTCTGGTGTCGTGTGCATGTATAAAATATATGTCTATATGCAGCCCTTCCTATAGTTCTGTTTGTCTGCTACCATGGATATAGCCTAACATAGACCAGAGCTACCCTAAATATTGTTACTCCTTTTTGTATTAGTATTAGCTATATTAGTTTGGTATTAGTACTCTTCAAAGAGTCCTGATAAAGTTTAAATATTGGGTTCAGATTGTGTGAAGGTAGAAAATGAAATAGAAAATGAATGAAATCAATCTGAATTTACAGAGATGTTGTAATAACACTCAAGTTAAAGTCATTTCAGATTATCTTATTTTATGGTTTGTAACATTTTCCTTTTTCGTTACAGGGTGATACTGGGGGTTTGGAAGCCCACTGAGTGATTAAAAATGTTGATGATGTGAGACAATTTTTTGATTCTGTGTGAGCCTCAATGGGAGGAAAAGAGTCAAAATGTTGCACTCTCAATTACGATGAAGCAGTCAAACGAGGCAAGTCCCATTCTGATGTGTTTGTGCTTGGCATAATTTCAAGAAGAAACTTAAATACCTATAACTTGCTGAATCATGATGATGCATAGTCCTTGATGGCACAGTCTGAAGGTGAGCTGCATCATTTCTCTTGCAGTTTCCAAAGGAGAGCTCCAGAGGCTCCATAATGCCTTCAAAAGGGCTGCTTCAATCACAGGAACAATATCAGAGGAGATCTTCCTCTCTGATGTTCTTGGAAATGGTATTCCAAGAACACTGGGTCATGTGAGTGGTTTTTCCTTATAGTCGATATTATTATGGACTAGGCCAGGAAAATCATAATTTTTCAGTTGAAATCCATAATGATGTGCAATATCAGTACCATACAATTTATATGGTACTAATTGGATACATATAGAATGTGGAAGAGTGCACATTAAAGCCCTGTCATAGTGAAAGTTTCTAAGTTTCAAGATTTTCTGAGGAGTTACCTTGGAATTTCAATATTATACACATGATGATTATGGTTCAAAATCAATTTCAGGGAAGATTTTCTATCCTTTAGGATTGCTATCCTCCACCCTCTATTATCAAATCTTTTGTTATCTGTTCTTCTATCGCAGAAAGTGGAGCCTATAATTCCATCATTAAACATTGTCATTGTTTGTGCAAATAATGTACTGTCATGTACCTCAAAGCTATGATTTCAAATTAGGTTCAGTCAATACAGTTGTATCACTTGCAGCACTTTCGTGTTTACATTATGTCTTTCTTGGAGGTGTAGAAAAGCTGTTTAAACACTATGAATATTAAGAGGCATAGCTTCTTTTATGTTTGAGTACCTTAGGTTCTGGATCTAGAGTGATGGGCAATATGGAAAAGAAATTCAAAAATAGAATTGCCAAGGTTTCAGCAGTTTTGCAGGAACTCTGGAAGACTGTTGTTACCAAATTTAAAACCTCCAAAGCAGCAAGACTCTCAGTTTTCAATAGTGTGATTGCCCCACTTGCACAGGTGGCCATGAATTTTGAGTCATGACCAAAGGATTCAGATTGTTTATGCAAGCTGCCCAAGTGCGGTTCTTACATAGGTTGGCCAATCTGAAGTACTGTGATAAGATATGGAGGTCTGCCATCCTTGAAGACCTCCAGGTTGAGCAACTTCATCTCCAGATTGGAGTTCCCAAATTTGGTGATTTGAACATGCTTGTTGCATGCCCTCAGAGAGACTCCAGAAAGGAATCTCTCAGTCCAAGGTGACTGGCAGAGGACCTGTCAGTAGACCTTGTGCAAGCTATAAGAACTATGTTACAGAGCTTTATTATGGGAAGCTCAGCATCCCATCTGCTGAACTTGAGTCTATTGCCTAGGATGCGGAACATTGGAGGATGCTTCTCTGCATGCTCCAACTCTGGCCCATTAAGTTGGGTTAGGTGATCTTACAAATTTGCCTGAGTATTTATGATGTCAGTATGTACAAGGTGTGTTCAAAAAGTTCCCGTTCTGACTCCATAAAAACTTTCTGGTAACACTTATGATCTAATTGATATTGTCCCCTTCAAAGTAGTCTCCTTGTGCAGCTATACATTGTTCCCAATGGCATTTCCACTTTTGGAAGCATTTGTGTTAGGCTGCATTCAGGATCGCCTTCAGCTCATTCGTTGCATTTTTAATAATTTTTTCTATGCTTTGAAATCTTCAACCTTTCAATGCAATTTTAAGTTTGGTGAAAAGAAAAAAGTCTGCCTTGGACAGATCTGGACAGTACAAGGGCTGGGGGATGACTGCGACTTTGTGCTTTGCCTGGTACTGCTGAATTGACAACGCTGTGTGTGCGAGCGCATTGTCATGGTGCAAGAGCCACGTTCCTGCTTTCCTACTTTCAGGCCATTTTCTCCTTAATTTGTCTTGTATGCACTTCAGTACTTTCAAATGAAACTGTTGGTTAACTGTTTGGCCTCTATGGATAAATTCATAATGAACGAGTCCATGGTAATAGAAAAAAAATGATTAGCATAGCCTTCACATTCGATCTGACTTGCTGTGCTTTTCTTGGTCTCAGGGATGTCGCACACTTCCATTGCAATGATTGCTGTTTTGTTTCAATGTCATAACTGCACACCCACGTCTTATCACCCATAACAATGTTTTTGAGAAAATCTTCCTCAATATTGGCACGTTGAAGGAGGTCTTGGGACACAAAAACATGTTGCTTTTTCTGCTTGGCAGTCAAGAGGCATGGCACAAACTTGGCTGACTCATGATGCATACCCAAATTCTCTGTGAGTATCATGTGGCCTGATCCTATTAAAATGTCCATTTTGTCTGTGACCTCCCTTACTGTCAGCCTACAATTTCCTCCAATCATTTCACAAACACGAGCAACATTCTCATCTGTTCTTGAAGTGGAAGGTTGTCCCACCCTTGCATTATCCTCTATCAAGATCTGGCCTTCCTTAAAAATGCTTGTGCTACACAAAAGTGGTGGTCTGACTTAAGGTGTCATTGCCAAATGCTGTGTTCAGCATGGAATGGGTTAGAAGCAGTCTTTCCCAGCTTAATGCAAAATTCAATGCACACACATTGCTCTTCAACAGTAGCCATTATTAATGAAACACACAAAATGACTTCACAAAAGAGTTAATAACTCAAGAACGAAATACGATATCAATAAGCGACGAACATCTTTGGACACAGAGTTACATTACAACCCTCTATTGCTGTGCACATGTGTCATGTGATACGAAAACAGTCCAGGAACTTTTTGAACACACCTCGTATGTAGCTTCTCTTCTTGAGGCCCTTGATGAAGTGAGCTGGGACCTGATCCTTCTCTCTCATCAAATAGGGATTGCTGATGTATAGGAGACCTCATTCATATGCTGGTTTTCAGATGATATTTGAAGCAGTGAGTGGAGGAAGTAGTCGTGGCTTGGGATTCAGGGATCTCCTGTGTTTCCTTGTCCTTATCACCAAAGGGAAGAGGGATGAGAAGACGAGATGTGAGTTTGGCTGGATGTGGTCTTATTATTCCAGAATTTTCAACCAGATATATTTTGCAAATGGATGGAATATCTTATAGCACTAGTATCCAATCACAGTTGTATGATAAAGTAGAATCATAACAACGTGGAAAAAAATTATATATATATATACAAGCCATTCAATCAGGCTGCAAAGTTGTTACTTAATATTCTGTACATTTTGATTTCATCACCATTTATGTGTGCATATGTATGTCAAGTAGGGAGGGGGGAGAGAAGAATGCAGGTGCTGTCATGGCAAATTTATTTTGATTGGAAAAAAGCATGATGCTGGTAGCAATTTAATTTCTTAGGTTATGAGGCTTCATTTCATTTAAAGGATTTTGAGTACTTGTATTAACAGAGATAAGAAAATGCCCATAAAAAGTTGTGGGTGATAACAACATCCCCTGCATTTTCCTTGTCTATGTCCTCTATCGTATTGGACATGGATTAGCCTTCTGATATTATCAACATTGGATATAGTTGAACTCTGGGAACTACAGTCCTTATCATGTCATGTCTGAGTGTTGCAATTTTTCAATGTCAAACACCTGAGATATATGGGAATGCCCTGGTGTGCAGTAAAAAAATGTAGCATGTGTGACCTTGTTACTGGCAAGGTTATAACAAATCAGCTATAGCCTTTATTATCCTGTGCATTGGTAACTTCAGTCAATCAGAGTTATGCCAATGCCTAGAGTTAGGCCTGAAAAAACAGCCAATAGGAACTTGAAGGAACATTAAGAAAAGAAATCCATGTATTGGGATGTAGGTTACATTTTTACTGTGTCAAAAAGTCTTTTATGAGATTTCCCATGTTGTCTGTTACTGAAGAAGCTTAAGATAGGAGGAGCTATTCAACTTTTTTAATTATATAAATGGCTAATAGTTTGACACAAATGGTGAAATAGGTGTTTTGAAAGATTCCCTCTAAATATTGCATGAAAACCAGTACCTAAACACTCATAAGAATTTGATGTCACAAACATTTTTTAATGCCATTGAGCAGTTACATTAAAATGCCTATTTATGTTTCTTTCCAGTTTTGTTTCTCTTCTTCGCCAATGAGAATGGGACAGAGATAGAGAAGCATGAGTTTCTTGAAAAGCTGAGACTCTGCCAAGAACATGTCAAAACTCAGATCCTCTCCTCTCTCTTTCTATCTGTGAGTTGATTTATTCAGTATCAGTTTGATAACCCCAAGTATCTTCTCTTAGTGTTTCTGATGAATAAACTCTCATTAACCTTTAATTAAGTTTTTTCTTTTACTTTTGTGAACAGAAGGAGCAGGTGGACTATGGAGAATGGAAGGAGTGGCTGAATCGTGAGCCTGAATCCCTGAGCTTATCAAAATGGTTGCTCGTTTGTCCTCCGACCGTTGGACTTTCTGATGAATCTGAACTCCCCACTTTTTATCAGACTGTTTCTGGTGTGACACATCGTAAGTCCCCATGCATTCTTGTGAATGATAAATTTTTTTTATGTGCTTGTACAAATAGAGAAAAGATGCCTTGAATACAGTTGACGAGAAGGAGGTGCTAGAACTGGAGAAGTGTTTCTGGGCACTACGGAATGGTACTGGGAGGGGAGGCATCAACCTGAGCTATTTTGAGACCTTGGTCAGCCCTCCGTTGCCTCTATGTGTTGTTCCTGGGATTTTCATGGCATTCGATGAGAATCGAGATGGCGAATTGGATTTCAAGGAAGTTGCATGCGGAGTATCCGCTGCATGTCGGGGTCCTCTGCCTCTTCGCCTCAAGTGTGAGTGCCAAGAATATAAGTGCAGACTTGTGTAGAGGGCTCATTTAGAACCTGACCTATTCTACCTTGCAGTCGAGTTCAAAGTGTTCGACAGGGATGAGGATGGCGTATTGAATCGTGAGGAGGTGATGGCCATGGCACAATGTTTGGTTGATTCCACTTACGAACTGGACATGAGGCTCCCTCTACCTGATGTTGGTATGTCTCCAATTTCACCTACGATTTCAATAATTGAGAAATTTCAGTTATTTTTATGTTAATGCTGAATTTCATTCTGTGTCCCCTAAGATGAAGTCATCGAGGAAGTCTGGAAGAAATCAGATGGCAGTGGTGTGTCATATGAGCAGTTTCTTCTCTGGGCTGTGGAATCTAGTCTTGCTCAAAATTTCCTTCAGCTCCTTTCTGAAGCAAGTGATCCTTGGAAATATTTTGAAACTAAATATTGCTTCTGAGTTTCTAATGATGAATGGCACTGGGCAATTTGCTTTTGTTCCAGTTGCTTGATTACATGAGGTATTATGGGATTTTGGTTCTAGGGATAGAGAAAATTTTATTTATTTATTTATCCTTTAATTAGTGAGCAGTGATTCACTATAGTGAAGCAAACTTTTTTTTTCTGAAGTTCTTGATATTTTCTGCAGCCTCTTTGTAAGATATTACAGACTCCTGTTTGTAATCCATGAGTAGGAGTTCTGCTTCATAATACATTGGCTCTTTTGTGCTGAAGACATTGTGACCACATGGTGGACATATATGTCTGTGTTGGGGGGCCCCTTTTCTGTACTGCATTCTCATATGCATACTTGACACAAATGCATCTCCCTTCTTTGGGAGCCATCTACCATCCTACAAGCCATTTGCAAAAGGTCATGCCTCCAGCAAATATCATAGAGGTGCATATCAAGCTGCAGATGCTACTTTCATCCAACATTCTGTTAAAACATCCATTTTTGTGTGGGATTGTTTCATAGAAATGCACATAGTCTAGTTGCATTTGCAGATTTTAATTGTCTTACGCAATTTTAATTCGGGCTGAAGACATATTGTGTCTCAAGTAATGTGCTCAAACTCAGGTATGCAAGACTTTAGTTCTGACTATTAAAAAAATATTGCAGTTGCTACATGTCAATAAATTCATGGGTACACAAAATCAATGTAGAGGCTGGAGTAGTCTTGGGATCTGGTTCACATGGAGGCAGGAATGCAGTGGGAAAAGTCTCATAATGGCATGCTTTGATGGTCACTATGGTAGAAGGCAGATTTCTTCATAGAAAATGATGAGGGCATGGCAGAGTTGCTCCTTTCTCAGTGTGGAAAAAGAATATTAAATTTAAAATGAATTATAAAAAAAACAAACAAAATGTTAAAGCCCCAGAGCTAAAACTTACTTAGGCAAGAGAAAGGGGACTTTAAGTAAAGAGCTTATTTTCTCCTGTTAGGAGTCCATGGATTCTTAAAGAACTGTTTACTAAAGGAGGTTTCAGCATGCAGGCCTTATTCTTTGATTCCTGCTGCCCTGGAAAATGGAAAAAGAAATGTTCAGTCAACTATGTTGTCTCTGGATTTCATATTTGACACTCAGCATGATAAAAAATTGCTAGGATTGGAGAATAAGGTAAAAGGGGAAATTGAAGGGAAAATGTTTTTGTTTTCCCATGAATATGTTTTTCATATTGGTTGCGAGCAAAGTTGATTCATTCTTGAAGCACAGGTAATTAGTGGAACTAGAACCTCCCTTACATATGCATTTCCATAGTCTGGCCTACTGTCTGACATTATATCCAGGGGTTATGGATTTTATTCATGTTCCCTTGAGGTCCAGAGAAAGTATGGACATCTCTGATAGCAAGATTGCCTTCAGTCTCTAGAGTGCTGAAAAATCCAGAATGTTTTTCTGTTTTATCCTATGATTTTGCCTACTATTTCATGTTGTATCTGCAAAAGTTTGCTTATGGAAAGATTGGTATTGCAGGTTTACTTGCAGTCATTATACCTGTATGTTCACCATAGTTTTTAAGTTTAAAGTGTGGTTATATGATAGGACTTCATCATATTAAATGATCAGCTCAATTTCTTTTAGTAAGAACAAGGAATAATGAAGATCTTCATGTTCAAATGAGAGCATGTTATGGAGGCATACCACTCTAATTCATGCTTATGAATCTGCATGACCTGGGTATATCCAGGCTGATCTGGTTTCTGGAGATATAGCCTGTATCATCTATTTGCGATGTGGTTTCATCCTGCACATTTGTTTAAAGTTTCTTTGAGAAAACAGTGCTAATCTTTTTCTTTAGTAACAGCATGCTTCTGGTTTTATGTAGGGGCTTTGAGTTTTCAAGAAAAAGTTGTTTTGTGAGGACAGATACATTTATATTTATCCATCTTGAAATTCTTAAGGAATCTGAGGATACATCCCAAAAAATATGAGATGTTGTAAAACTTTTTTTGCCCATCAGATCAGTCACTTTACTGGTCTTCTATATGTAATTTACTTCATTTAAAGAACTAGTTCTGTATCATTCAGTAATAAGTTTTGATGTCACTTGAAAAGCATATTTTATAATTCTGTTGCTTTCCCCATTAAGCAGGTTTGCCACATTGTGCTTGGCCTCCGCCCAGTCACAAAGGAGGATGAAAAGAAGATAGTCATAAATTGGTTGGAAAGGGAGAGGAAGCGAACCATGACACTGGGTGAAATCTGGTATCTAGTCAATGCAGACTGGTGGAGAGTGTGGGATATTTCTCCTGTTAGTTGTTTTTTACCCCTTCAAGTTTGGATCATAATTAAAATTTTTCTTGCAGCAGGATTTGTATAAGTTTTTCTCTTGTTTAGTCTCAGGGAGAAGGAAGTGATTCTGGAGACCGGGCTGATTCCCCCTCCAGGTCCACTCCCACCAGTCCTAGCAAGTCAGTTTGGATTTTAAATATCAATCTTCAATAGGTGGAAAATGTGTCCTATTTTTCATCTTGCCATACCAGCAATTTCTCATCTCTTTTAATTTTTAGAGTCAAAGCTTACTCAAGGAGCCCAGCATCCTCTCCAGGACTATGCCGGCGTTCCCCACCACCTCCCGCCTCTGTACCCATGGCATGCCCTGGAGCCATTGATAATTCCCCCTTGGTTGCCCCCAATGCCTGGAAAGTGTCATCTATCACAAGTGAAGGAGGGAAGCTGAAAGAAAACTTGGTTCAGGACAAACAATTCATCCTTGTTCCTGATGCACTTTGGAAGGCACTCAGTTCCTGGTATGGATTCACTGTTTCCATACCAAGGAAGGTGAGTTCTATAGAAATTTGCTGATTCCTTTCATCAGCTCCCATTGTATAGGAAGGCAGAGTGTAATGAAAGTATTCCCTTAGGTCATACAAAACCCTAAAACTGGGCAACTGGAGATTGAGCTGCATCCGTTGCACATCCGACTGCTCCGACATCATAACCAACAGTCCTCACTTGCACGTAATCCAACTAATAATGAGTCTACACCCTGGAATTATGGGATGATGGCTGGATATGGTGGGACAATAGGTAAACTTGCCTCCTCATGTTTTCTTCTTGAGCTCATCCTATTTCAGAGAGTCCCATGTGTTCTGTTCTACAGGAATGAGTTACGTGCCAGCATTGGGTTTGGCCCCTCGGAAGTATCTGGCTTACATGGGAGCATTCAGTCAGATGTGCACGGTCAAGGAGCTCGAAATGTTCCTTTCTAGTCGACTGCATATTCGGCGGGAAGACCTGCGAGTATGGCTTGTCAGAGATGATGTAAGGATCGGTGATATGATTCTCTCATTAGTTTGAACTTTGGACTTGGAAGATCAGCATGTAAAATCTGTAACATTCTGGGTAGAATAACATGGTGCTGCTTGAAGACGAGGAGAAGACGTTAGATGCAGTGCCTATAAAGGGTGAAGATCAAATCCTGATTGAGATGCGAAACAAAGATTTGACCTGGCCCGAAGAGATGTCCCTTCTCCGCAAGCCACAGCGTTCATCCTCTGTCTTCAACCAGTGTGAGTGTAATTCTTTATGACTTATTGTTTTCTCTTTGCACTGAAGTGATTGGCCACCTTTGACAGTGCCACCAGTTAAGGGTGCAACCGGTCTGAGCAACTTGGGCAATACTTGTTTCATGAATGCAGCCCTTCAGAGTGTGAGCAATACTAAACCTCTGACTCTTTACTTCACATCAGGAATGCACCTCCATGAGCTCAACAGGTATGTTTCTCAAAGTCTACTGCTGTGAATAGCTGGTTCATCCTTTCTAACTTGGATGAAATCTTGAAATTGAGTATTACCTATATCCTTTTCTCACTTGACATGAACCTTAGAGAGAATCCAATGGGGATGAAGGGCCACATTGCAAAGAGATATGGTGATCTCATTGAGGAATTGTGGAGTGGGCAGGCAAAATCAATTGCTCCTCTCAAGCTCAGGGTTAGCTTCTTGTTCCCCTTACCTTACTGTTGATTGTTGCAATCTTGGCTTCAAACTGTCATTTCATTTCAGTGGACGATAGGAAAATTTGCTCCTCGGTTTACTGGCTATTACCAGCATGATTCTCAAGAACTTCTTGAGTTTCTGCTTGATGGCCTTCATGAAGACTTGAATCGGGTCAGAGACAGGGTTGCCATCGAACCTGTCAAGGTTAGGACTTCCTCAAATCAAATCCAACCTCTTCAGGTTTTGTATGTCCAGTGAAGAGCACAGATTTTTCCATCTGTAATTTAGGACAGTGCTGATCGCCCAGACATTGAGGTTGCTGAAGAAGCATGGGAAAAGCACATCCTTCAAAACAAGTCCATTGTTGTTGACCTGTTCCAGGGTCAGCTGAGGTCAAAAGTCACATGCCAAGTGTGTGGGCATGTGAGCCTGAAATTTGACCCATTCACTGTTCTCTCTCTCCCTCTCCCACTGGATTCCTATCTCCGCCTGGAGGTCATTGGTGCGTCCCATTGTGTCCTCTTGTACTGTTCTGGTGCAACAAAATCAGATTTGAGCGGTCATTGTGAGATGTGCCTGTGGTCCTTTTTTGCAGTGATTCACTGTGATGGAAGCATGCCAATAAAGTATGGGGTGAGGCTCCTTGTCCCAGCCACATATTCTAGTCTCAAGGAAAAGCTGGCTCAAAGAACCAGTATTCCCACCTCACACTTTGTCCTAGTGACAATTCAGAGTGGTTCTCTTCAGGTTGACCTTTTTCTTTGCTCTTATTTTTAAAATATATATTTGAATTCAGGAGGCATTTAGCAGTATTTTTGTCCCACAGAGGAGGTTTCGTGATGATGAAGAAGTTGGGAGCTTACTAGTCTATGCTTATGATGTACCAGGTAGGTTAAAGTCTCTCTCAGGAAAATCAGAAGTTTAAAAGTGTCGATCAAGAGTTGCTTTTGTCTACATTAAGTATCAGGCAAGAAAGGAACAGACATCGATGAGGAGAGAGATCCCCGTCCAAATGGCATCTCTGTTCCTGTCAACCATGTAAGGCCACGAGAAGATGATTTTGTGGTTGCATATCATCGCAAAATGGTTTGTGATAATACTCAGCTTGTACCTGAAATTCCCTACTTGAAAGATTGCTCATGTTGCTCTGGGAATGTCTTATAGGGTCGGAATGACACATACTTCCTGGGACCCTGGGGTCGGAACATACCACAGCTGTTTGGTGTGCCGATTCTTATTCCATGGTCTGAGGACTTGACCCATGCTGACCTGTACAAAGCCGTCTGGGTTCAGGTCTCACGCTTCATCTCCCCTCCTCCTGTCATCAGCTCCTCACTTGCAAATCATGCACAAGACTGGTAAATTTATTATAAATCCTATTCATGTTTGTTAGATTGCTTTAAAGATTCTCTCATGATAATGTAGAAGGGATCAGAACCCCTCTGCCCCCATCATTTGCTATTCCCAAACTAGAGCCTTTTACCTCATATCTTTACTTTCATTTTCCATTTTGATGCACTTATACATGTATTGTACATAGCATCATGGTGTTTCTTGTTTGCATACCCTTGCAGCTCTAAAAGAATCTTAGTATTTCCTTTGAGACTAAGAGTAAGCCTGCTTTTCAGGGTATGTGAGGTGTTGCAGTAAGTTCCTTCATAGGCTATCTATGTTTATACGATGAAGTGCTCATAGAGGCACTAGTCTCCTTTATGAGATATCTAATGATTTTTGGGATGTGCATTGCAACAGTGATGACAGCATGGGCTATGACTACCCATTCATCTTGAAAGCTGTAAGTGGGGATGGGACAGTATGCAGTCTGTGTCCCTGGTATCGATTCTGCCGGGGATGCCCGATCCCATACTGTGATGCTGATTTCTCTTCCCTCACATCCCATGTTGCAATTGACTGGGACCCCAGTGCCCTTCACCTTCGGTACCAAGCATCAATTGAACAAGTGAGAAAATTACACCAAATTTCATGTCTTTGTGAGACAAGTACCCTGATATTGTTACATTCAATCTATGGTCATAACAGAGTTGTAAAGAAGATGAGAGTGTCCTTGCCACCCTGGAAGCCCAGAATGCCCCCATCAAGGTAGAAGACTGCTTGGAAGCATTCACAAGAGAGGAGCATTTGAATGCAGAATGTTCCCAGTGCAAGAAGGAGCAAAAGGTCTCAAAACGGCTGGAAATTTGGAGACTACCACCCATTTTGGTATGTCTATTGTTATCCCTTAGAAAAATAAAAGAGTTGAAGAATATTCAAATGAGGAATTAGTATTCTATAATCTTTTGTGTGATGTTACAAGCAGAAGAAAAGGGACATGGAAGGAACAATGGTGACATGGGTCTGAACATTTTCAAAATAAAAGTAGGATGTCCAAACAAGTATACTGGGGAATAGTAAAGGTATTGGTGACTACAGGCCATTTTAAAGCCTAGTTAAATGTCTTTATTTCTTACTTGCTGGTTATAGCTTTGAGAATACTATTAATAAGTGGTACCTTTAAGAAAAAGATAAGGTTTATGAAGCCATTGGTCTTTGTTACTGTGTTTTACTTTTAAATTTAAACTCTTATCTTTCTTGAGTGCATTAGGGAATCAGGCTGTGTGGGGTATTCCATGCACACAAACACATTGGTTGGCACTGTTCAGGTCTTCAGAGACATTGATACTAAGAGCCATGTGATATGGGCAACCATTATACTTTTTCATGCGAGAATACATGAAAAAAAAATCTGCTCTTCATGTATTGAGTTCAAGCTACAGGGATGGATCTTTGAGAAATGTCTTGGAATGATATCTGTTGAACTTTTTTCCTGCACAATTTTTTTCCTTTGTTTTTTTTTTGCTTCTTTTTGCAATGAAAATTTCAGGGTGAGTCTGAAATGTCTCACCCTATATGAAAATCAACTGCTAATTCCAATATTACAATAATTGTAATTAGACAGATGATTGGTTGCTTTGCTCTACCTTCAGGAACCTTGTGTCATTGATGTTAGGGTGGAGCCTTTGATTTAGGAATAGGGCCTAATGAAGGAATTTATGTGTAAAATATATATATATAATATTTTTTTCAGTCATATTCCACATTTGTGTGCAGGGTGAGCAGAAAGCTTAAAGTTTTGTCTGTAATCATTGTGGAATGAAGAGGAAAAGTTATGAGACCATACTCTGTAAGTGTCTTGAACTTCAGAAAATTTATGGAGGGCATTGGTGATTGTAGTGGAGGCTTTTGATGCATTTCTGTATATATTGTTTTTTTTTTTTTTTTTTTCTTTCCAGATCATGCAGGTGAAACGGTTTCATCTGGTTAACAATCGCTGGGTTAAATCCCAAAAAATGGTTCAATTCCCCTTGAAGCACTTTGATCCAACGCATTTCTTGGCTTCAGTTCCACGTTCCACGGTTCAGCGTCACATGCGAGAGCTTCAAGATCCCCATGAATCTCTACTAGAGATAGACGTTTGTTACATTTGATTTTCTTTTCACTTTTCAGTGGGCCTCAAAGAATTATTGATGGGAGGGAATTTTTTATGTAGTTAGGGGATGGGGAGGGAGCGAAGGTCACTTGGGAAGGAAAGAGTTCTTCGGATCGACGGAAGCGGTTGGACAGTGTGACCAAGTGCAATGTGAACCAAGGAGCCTTGCAGGATTTCCACCAGCATCGCCTTGTTGACCATGCTGACCCCTTCTTCCTCAAATATAACCTCTACTCTGTTGTTGTGAGCTTTTTTTTTCCCTCTTCTCTACCTGGGGTGCATTGTTTCTTTCGTACTGCTAGAAGAGAGAAAGCATTGCTATATTCTGCCAAAGTCAAACTTTGAATCAGAATTTTTGAATTCTAACTTGGTTTAAACTGGAGTCAGCTGAAAACATAAAAAAAAGATTCACCCTAGTCACTTGATCAAAGTAACAGCTTCTTCATGAAAGGAAGTGAAAAAGTTCTGTGTTATGATGAGGTAAAAGTGATACAGTGATGTATTGGTACAAACAAAGTTATAAAAAAAATCTTTGTTTTTTGTACCACATATTTCAGTTTTTGATAGGGATGAGTGTTTTGTTTCAGTGTCACACTGGGAGTCATCAGGCTGGCCACTATATCACATATGCCCTGAACCTCACTGGGACTTGGTTCCTTTTCAACGACAGTGCATGCAGGGTATGGCATCATCTTTCACTTTCCTGATTTGCTTATTCATTTCATTGGTTGACTAGCTCCTATGGCTACCTGACTGTTGTGCACAGGAGGTGAAGGAAGAAGATGTGATGAGGGCCTCACCATACATGCTGTTCTATGAGAGGGAGAACTTGGACTTTGGGAAATACATGCCAACAATAGCCCCAGGGAGGCCAACGCCTGATGTTGGGGAGCTGGACTCTGAGATGGAGGCAGACATAAAAAAGTATTGTTCCATCATGTGATTGCACAAAGATGAACAAGCTCGCCACAGTCTTGATCTCCTTGATTATGCCAGTACGACATTCTCTGTTGACCCCCTCTGCCCGACTCATCATGAGACGGTCACGATATGAAATCCAAAAATATTGTTTTGCAAACCAACAGATATGAATTATATTTACAAATTCATTCATATTTTTTTATCACTATAATAAAACCCCTGTTGTTAACCCAGGTATATCAGAATTTTTAATGATGAAATTATGCAGAAAAGCCTCCCACAGGAATGCAATGGGACAGAAAACAGAATGTGGAAATAGAAGGGCCTCATCTGACCTGATGAAGGCTGTTGCTTATTTCAACATATATCTGAGAAACAAGGAGAACCAGCCATGGTAATTCTTGAAGAATTCTCACCTGGCTGTATTATGTGTTTTTATGGGTCAGAAAATGCAATTTGAATAGTTAATGCTTCATTCAAAAGTTTGTTTGTTTCAGTGTTGACTTAAATAGTTGATGAAAGATGAAGACAAAGAAAACCCAGCAGCAGGGAAAGAAAAGGGTGAAGGAGGGGATGAACAGGTCAGGCCACAGCATGAACCCTAACCGGCCCGAAGAATCGGCCAAGGGAGCTTCCAGGCTCCGTGACAAGGCCACCATCCGCCGACTGCAGATGTACCGCAACTTCAAGCCAAAACGGAACCGTCGGGGCCAGATTGTCCGAGCTGCACCCTTCCAAAACAGACTCGCCTCTGGTTTGTTTGTCTCTCTTTGTTCAGAAGTTTGCTCCCCTTAAATGGCTGAAGTAGGATTGTGAATGGATTCATTTCCCTCAGGTTCAACTGCAAGGGTGGAGCCTAACCCAAAGTGGTTTGTGAACACAAGAGTAGTGACCCAGAATGCCCTTCAAACATTTCAGGAGAACCTTGGCAAGGCCCTCAATGACACCTATCAGGTGCCCCCCTACTCCCACTCACTCATGTCTTAATCTGGCAAATTTTCTGCACTTCTGCTGTTTCATACACATTTTTCTTTATTTCATGATTTTCAGGGAAGGATTTGTGTTTGAGACATACATTTATTTGGGGCTTTGTTAACAAGTTAACGACCTTGCCATCATGATATCTACGATTAAAGTATACCAATTGGTCATTGTTTATTATACTGCTTCGTTGCTTTCGATTAGTTCATATTTTCATGAGTCACCATTTCATCATCATGGGGGCACAAATTTGTTTGATGTGTACTCCTGATTTTGACTTTCTGCCTCCTTGTATATAATACTGTCAATGCTTTTATGCATTTGCCATCAATTTGACCTCACCCTACATGCAACCAGGTTGTGATGAGGAAGACCAAGCTGCCTATCTCACTGCTGCAGGAGAAGGGTAAACAGAAACGACCGCATGTCCTAGATACAGAGGATTTTGAGTGCACTTTTGGCCCCAAGAGCCGCCGGAAAAGGCCACAGATGCAAGTGGGAGATCTGGAGGAATTGGTGCGCAAGGCAGAAGAGGGGGATACCACATATGATGAGGAGAAGGATCTAGACCGGGAGCGGGACGACCTCGGTGTCCGAGACCTTGTCCGGGAGCCCATCATGAAGGCTGGCCAGAGCAAACGCATCTGGAATGAACTTTATAAGGTTCTACCATACTAAAATTCCACCTCCACTATTGCTATTCCATAGTTTTTTCTTTGGGTGATGCAATGTATACTTCCATCTTTCAACATGATACATAATTGCTAGGTACTAATGATACTGTGAGAGCATTGATTGTATAACAATTAAATTACAGAAAAGAGGAATTTGATGGATCGTCACTTACCCATGTCACGGAGAGAATTTTTACCTGTTTCCACAATTGACTTTTTATCAGAAAGAAACATTTTAGAATTCATTACTAAACTTCAACCAAATGATCTAACAATAGGTGTAATTCCAAGTGTTGAACCCCTCTGTTTCATATCAAATAAATGCTTTGAATGTACTTCTTGTTATGTGAAAGTCTTTTTCAGGTCTTGTTAATATAAATGTTTCTTGCTATGCATTTTATTGAAAATTTTGCTGTTGTTTGTAAAAGGTAGTGACTTCTTGCTCAGGATCACACCCTGCTCTAATTGCATTCCAACAGCTCATTTAATTATCTCAACTCAGGTGATAGACTCATCAGATGTGGTGATTGAAGTGCTGGATGCGAGGGATCCCATGGGAACTCGAAGTCTTTCTGTGGAGGAGTACCTGAGGAAAGAGAAGACCCACAAGCACCTGGTCCTCCTCCTCAGCAAGAGTGACCTGATCCCGACCCCAGTGACTCGGAGGTGGATCCAGGAGCTGAGCAAGGAATACCCAACCCTGGCCTTCCATTCTTCCCTGCGAAATCCTTTTGGGAAAGGGGCCCTCATCGCCCTCCTGCGGCAATTCGGCAAACTCCATGCAGACAAAAAGCAGATCAGTGTTGGATTCATTGGGTATCCCAACACTGGAAAGAGCAGTATCATCAACACGCTCCGATCCAAGAAGGTCTGCAGTGTTGCACCCATTGCTGGTAAGTTTCTGAATCTCTTGGCTTTTGAAAGAATTCATACAACTTCCTTGTCAGGGTTATTAGAAGTTGAGGTCTCTTGAGTTCTTTATTGTTGGAGCTATGGTTGAGGTGCATATAATAAAAACTATGCATACAAAATTCTTAACCACAAAAATACAATCTTATGTCTTGCAACCATGATGTGTGCAATGTTTTGATGAAATGTGAAAATGGCTCTCCAAAGTGCCAAATGTGAACAATAGCATCCAAGTTCTATATCACTGTTTCTGGTTTTAGGCATTGCACTGCATGAGGCTGGGCATGAATTTTTTTTTGGTGTGTATTTCTTTTGAAGGAACATGCATAGGAAGAATTTGATGAAAACTCTCAAACTAGAGAACTGAGAACTGAAAATTTAATATGGAATGGGACAGGATGCATGAGCTAATGGTAGAGGTGGCTTTTTTTACCCTATGCAGAACTTTAGACCAAAAAAGATAATCTATGGGATACATTTCAGCAAATGATATCTGCTTATTTCCCCTAGTTTTAGTTTCATAGATCTACATAATGGGTGCTATTTCCATTAGGTCAGACAAAAGTTTGGCAGTACGTGACACTGATGCGTCGCATCTATCTCATTGACTGCCCCGGGGTGGTGTACCCACATCGAGAGTCTGATGCGGAGAAGGTGCTCAAGGGGGTGGTCAGGGTGGAGTTGGTGGAGGAGCCATCTCAGTACATCCCTGCCGTCTTGGATCGGGTCAGGGCGGAGCATATTGGGAAGACATATGGAATCTGGACATGGCGTGACCCTGATGACTTCCTTGAGTGTCTGGCACGTAAGACTGGGAAGCTGTTAAAGAAGGGGGACCCAGATGTCAATACTGTTGCCAAAATGGTTCTCAATGACTGGCAAAGAGGTATGTGTTGATGTCCATTTGTCTTTTGTTGTGATATCACTCTAGTCCACTATATCATATTTGTTTTTTTAATTTAATGATATTTTAATGAAATTACTGCCTAGTGGTGCAGAAAATTGTAAAATGTTGAGCATATGTGATCATTGTGAGTAGATAATGACTTACAGCTCCAATCATCCCACACACTTAGATTATGCCCAGCGTATTATTATGATAGTCTGAAGTACCTGCGTAATCTACTTGAAGATGCTATATCCGATGACTGACCTTATTCTATTCCCTGTTCCCTGGCAAGGTGTAATAATAAAACTCCAGTGTGATTTGAATATCCATTTATTATATGAATTTGTTCCTCAGACTTGGTCTGGTTTTATGGTGAAAAAATGGGAATAAAAAATTCATACAGGTCATGAGGACCTGTGCCTGCTTTGTACATGACATTTGGTCCTCTTTGTTTGATCCAACAGGGAAACTTCCATGGTATGTCCTACCTCCAAATTGGAAGGAAAAGGAAGTGGAGGTGTCGGAGCGTGAGACGACATCGGGCACCTTCCAAGTCGAAACCCTTCCTTCTCCAGGTTGGTTTTTCCTTGTGGTATAGCCAAAATGTCAAGAAATATTTAAATGTATAGGATTAGGTTATTCATAAGTCAGAGAAATTTACACTAGTAGTTTTTCTCAGTTGAGATTCCATGAGTGTGTGTGTGCATTTATATGGAACTTCATTGTCCTATATTTTAAGGACACAGTCAAAGGGTTGGAAACACCTTATCCTAGTGGAGAATACTAAAAGTTTGACTTGAAGAGTGTTTGACTGGCACAGGGGGTTCTGCACCAACTTCAGAGCTTAGGTGCCCTTGCTTGTTTCTCTACCTCTTCTTTAGTGTCTGGTCTGGTTGAGCTTGCAGCCTGTTGTTTCATATGGTCAATTCTCAGCATCCTCTGAGATCTCTGGCAATCTCCAGCACAGTGTCCTTGATCTGACATTATTTGTGAAATTGCATTTTCTCTGGAGAATATTTATGAGAATATTCACTCAATAAGTTATCTACCTGAAGAAGAAAGAAACATCCGAGGGGAAAAATAACACTTTATTTTTCAATGTAGTTACCTTTTAACTCAACACACTTATTCCACTTTGATTCCAAGGATTTTATTCCCTGGGAATAGAAGTCAACTTCTTGTCCATCAAACCAATCAGAAACGGCAGCTTTCAGCTCTTCATTGCATGAAAATCTTTTTCCCAGCAAAAATTTTTTCAAGTATGTGAACAGAAAATAGTCACTAGGAGCCACATCCGGGCTGTAGGGAGGATGGTTGAGCTCCTGAAAGCCACACTCCCTCACTGCTGCCTGAACTTTCCATGATTTGTGGACGGGCGCGTTGTCATGGAGAAGAAGGACCCCCCCTTGACAACTTTCCTCTGCGTTTTTCATCGATGGCATCATGTAAATTTTTCATGGTGGTAGCATAGGAATCGCCGGTGATTGTACACTTGTCTGGCATGAACTCAAGCAGCAGTAGTCCTTTGCTGTCCCAAAACACAGTGGCCATAATCTTTCCTGCAGATTTCTGAACACGAATTTTGCGAGGTGTTGACGATCCCTCGTGCTTCCACTGCATGGACTCCTGCTTGGTTTCGGGATCCCAGTGATGAACCCAAGTTTCATCACCAGTTACTATTCTGGGAAAAAAGTTTCCCCGATTTGTTTAGAAAACTCCAAGTTTTCCTTGCAGATGTCAGATCTTTTCTTCTTCTGAGCTGGAGTCAGGATTCTTGGGACCCATCGAGAACTGACTTTGGACATGTGTAATTTTTCATGAATTATGTGAATCACTGTGTCCTGAAATCCCCAGTTCATGAGCTAAAACAGAGACTTTGGTGCGACGATCCTCCAGTATCGCACTCTCCAATTTGTCACACATTTCCTGATCAGAAGCCTCCACAGGGCGCCCTGACCTTGGGTCATCTTCAATTGACTCTCTTCCCCACTTAAACTGCTTGCTCCAAAATTTAACTTGGTAATAAGAAGGCGTAGACACACCATAAACGTTAAGCATACGTTCATGAATCTCCTTAGGTGCTTTCCCTTCTCTGGTGAGGAATTTGATCACTGAACAATGTTCGACTTTCGTCAAATCCATGACAGACTCAGGAAAAGAAATCTAATGCGCTACCACTTTGAACGGACTTGAGCCACTGAGCTGGTATACAGTAGTGGTGGGGCACTCACGAGACCTGTCGAGACATGTCACAGCAGTCACAGGCCTGTTGCTCATCCCTTTCATATTCAGGTAGATAACTTATTGAGTGGCCCTCGTATTATAGTTGATTGCCTGGATGGTAGAGGCTAGCTATGGCTAACATTGCACTCAATGAGCAAAAAAAATGAACCCACTCTTCCAGTTATTGCAATGTTGTCATTTTTGTCTTTTAAATGTTTAAATGCTGGTGGATGCCAATTTGAGCATCTCTGTGAACCAAAAGTGTATGAAGAGATAAAAGATTGTGTTAGGTATTAATAAAAAAGTAATGCTAATAGGTGATTTAAATACCTCCTGTTGCACAGTTATTCGAAATTGTTTATTTTTTTTGGGCTACCCATATATATTGAACGAGCTACAAAGTTACATCTTCAGTCCAAGGTCAATCTAACCAGACGAAGTAAAGCGACTGCTTCTGTAATGACTTGAAATTGACATCCTTCCTGTGCATGAAGCAAGTAACAGCTTTAAAGAAGAGCCATTGCAGAAATCATATTTTAGAATTGGAAGCTTCTTTCCCTTTTTCCATGTTAATTGGTGCAGACTTGGGAGAGGATATAATGAATTCATCTTTCAAGCTTGTCTTTCTTTTTTTAGATGGTGAAAATGCAAGTCCTGAAGTGGTGGAGGAGTCGAGGTGATGAATTTTTTAATTGTTAAGTTGTTTCCATTTGTTGAAATGGTAATAAAGCTTATAAATTTGAGCAATTTGGAGGTTATTCAATGGATTGAAGATAAATTATGTTTTGTCGCTTATACAGTAGCCTGACTTGATTCTAGGTAGGTTGCAGGCCTGGTACAGTAAAACGAGGGGCTTCGGAGAGAGGTTCCGAAGGCAACCCAAAATTTCACATTAGCGCCTTATGCTAGCCTTATGTAAATTTTTCCTTACGAAGTATATGGAAGAGATTCATGGAGACTGTTGAGAGTCCCTTTTCCCTTTCTTAAGGCCATTGCTATCAACTCTCTGAATTTGAAACTGAAATCGTATCCAGAACTTTAAGATGAAACTTAACGGTGTGTTGAATCCCATCAGGTTTTAGACATCGATCTAAGGAAAATGAATTTTAACTTCAAGTTGCAGTAGTCCCTCTGCATATTGCCTTTCATTTGTTGTCTCGCTTTACTGCCAAATCCATGCGCCATTTCTTGGGTGCATTAACTTTCAAAATTTCAATACTTCATTCACATCTTACGGTGATGTAAAGCAATAAATTTCCATTTTGAGCATCGAGCAGCTGAAAAAGAACTTGTGGTTTTCTTTGAAGTCGTTCAACCTCAACGAAAAATACTTCAGTTCTGTGCCTGCATTATGCATCATAAGCTATAACAAAAAAGGCTGATCTTCAGATTCGCGTCGGACATGTTCCTCCTTTGATTATCGAGGCGGGTTTCTCCGTGGTCCCAAGTTTTTCCAGGTGCTTTCAATCGATTTGCTTGCAACATGAATGTACATTCCAAAATTATGATAGCATCTGCTTTTAGCATGAGGCTAGCTGTTGAGGCAAAGAAACTCTCGCTCAAGTTATTCTAATGGTTATTTATGAGTGGTGAATTTTCACCTTCCGACTACCGTACCTTTTACACAAAGTGGTATCACGAAACAGATGTTGGAAATTGGTAAATGTGACGTGACGTAACTTGCGGACCGAGAACGAATGGGTATCCATTCCCAATCCGTTTATGATCCCGGTCTACGGCCGACACGCTGCCTCTTAGTATATTTTAAAATGTATGTAACAAGCCAAGGTTCTGCTAGAGTGTGAGGTCATTCTGTAGTACGAGTGCACAATGTCCCACAAACACGCATTGGAGGCACTCGATCGAACCCTTCAAGACCTAAGGGGCAACCAGAGACTTATGGGTAGGGTAGTTGTAATCTCGGCAGGTGATTTTCGTCAAACGCTGCCCGTCATTCCAAAGGGAACAATGGCCGATGAACTTAATGATTACTTGAAAGCTTAATCTCTCTGGAGATACGTGCGCACAACATTTCGAACAACTTTTGCAACGTAATAGAGTCGTACTGGAAGTACTGGAAACCAAAGATCCGTCACCGCGTCAAAGATCACAATTGGCTTTGCGAACGTGTCATCCTTGCTCCTAAAAATAACAGCGTGAATGCCATCAACTTACAGATTCAACAACAGATGCCTGGAGAAGTTAGATCTTACGAGTCAGTCGACAGTTGCGGATGTTAATGAGGCGGTTCAGTATCCCACAGAGTTTCTTAACTTCCTCGAGCCTCCTGGGATGCCGCCACGTAACTTGGCGCTCAAAATTGGTTCTCCCATCATGCTTCTGAGGAACTTGGATGCACTAAGACTGTGCAATGGTGCAAGATTATGTGAAAAAATATAAAGCCTCGCGTCATTGAAGCAATAATGTTGACAGGCTGCGCATAGGGCGGGGATGTATTCGTACCGCGAATACCCGTCATTCCTACAGATATGTCCATCGAATTCAAGCGACTGCAGTTTCCAGTGTGTCTTGCCTTTGCGATGTCCCTCGATGAAGCTCAAGGGAAGTCGCTTAAGGTTGCAGGTGTTAATCTGGAGACTCCTTGCTTTTCTCACGACCAACTTCATGTAGCGCGCTCAAGAGTTGGAACCGGAAAGAAAGTGTATGTCTTTGCCCCTAATGGGATAACCAAAAACATGGTATATAAAATTGCTTTGCAAAAAAAAAAATAATAATATGAAATCCAAGGCTTTGCAATAAAAATTGCATTTAAATGTAAACCATGTATCTCGAATTAAAGAAACCAATAAAATGGAAAAATTTTTTTTCTCAAAAACCCTATAAAAAAGAAAGGTAAAGAAAAAGGAAAGGGGTCCGAGCGCATATTGCGATCCCCAAGATGGGTAAATTATCGGAAACCATAGGGCTAACGTTCTTCACTTGATCATGCATGAATTATTGAATTTCCCCGAGCAACGCCGGGTACTTCAGCTGGTAAGCAATATTTAAACCTTTACTCAATCTGAATCCAGTAATGTTTCAGTATTTTGTGTGACCGCCATTGGCTGGCTTCACGTACAGCCCTCAAACGATGAAAGTTTAATTTCAAAATAATTTCAAATGTGCGCTTTCCTGGAGATTTCTTTCAGCCATGGTCTGCAGAGCACTCAATGTTTATAACGTTTCATGTTCGACATTCAGCCTGACCGAAATATAGCCGGAAATAGTCAAAGGCTTTGGTTGCTTGACCGTGCAAAACTTTAGATTAGGCCTGACCCCAATCTTTGAGGTTCTGAGAAGATCAAGACTGGTTGACGTCGTTCCTTTATCATGGCCGCACCAACAAGTAGGAAGGACATGCCAAATGTTAGATAGATGAGGTTTTTGAGGAATGCATGGAAGAAAGTAGCTCTGACGTGCATCAGATTTTAAATTCATAATACGGAACAGTTTTGTTCCTTGGTAAGAAAAACGACTTTGTAAAGCAAAACAATTCGTCATATACAGACTTTTTTTATCATGCAGGTGAATGGAAAAAACGGCCGGGAAATGGAAACATTTTTATACTAAAAAAAAAATCCTTATATGGGGTTTTGTTATACGGAGCGTCGACTGTAGTGAACATTTTAGAATTCATTAATCAACTTCAACCAAATGTTTAGCAATACCTGTAACATCATGTTGAACCCCACTGATTAATATCAGGTGAATATTGATATACTTTTATTTTGCACAAGATGACGTACCCGACGTTGCTCGGGGAAATTCAATAATTCATGCATGATCAAATGAAGAACGTTAGCCCTATGGTTTCCGATAATTTACCACCTTGGGGATCGCAATATGCGCTCGGACCCCTTTCCCTTTCTTTACCTTTCTTTTTTACGGGGTTTTTGAGATAAACATTTCTTTTACATTTTTTTTTTTTAATAATTTTTTTTTTTCGTTTTATTGGTTTCTTTAATTTGAGATACATGGTTTGCATTTAAATGCAATGTTTATTGCAAAGCCTTGGAATTGCTATTATTATTATTTTTATTGCAAAGCAATTTAATACACGATATTCTTTGTTATCCCATTAGGGGCACAGACATACACTTTCTTTCCGGTTCCAACTCTTGAGCACGCTACATGAAGTTGGTCGTGAGAAAAGCAAGGAGTCTCCAGATTAACACCTGCAACCTTAAGCGACTTCCCTTGAGCTTCATCGAGGGACATCGCAAAGAAAGGACACACTGGAAACTGCCGTCGCTTGAATTCGATGGACATATCTGTAGGAATGACGGGTATTCGCGGTACGAATACATCCCCGCCCTATGCGCAGCCTGTCAACATTATTGCTTCAATGACACGAGGCTTTATATTTTTTCACATAATCTTGCGCCATTGCACAGCCTTGGTGCATCCAAGTTCCTCAGAAGCATGATGGGAGAACCAATTTTTAGCGCCAAGTTACGTGGCGGCATCCCAGGAGGCTCGAAGAATTTAGGAAACTCAGTGGGATACTTAACCGCCTAACATCCGCAACTGTCGACTGACTCGTAAGATCTAGCTTCTCCAGGCATCTGTTGTTAAATCTGTAAGTTGATGGCATTCACGCTGTTATTTTTAGGAGCAAGGATGACACGTTCGCAAAGCCAATTGTGATCTTTGACGCGGTGACGGATCTTTGGTTTCCAGTACTTCCAGTACGACTCTATTACGTTGCAAAAGTTGTTCGAAATGCTGATGAATCGCGACAATTGGCATTTTTCCATCGCCAAGAGTGAGCAGTTGTTGAGCAAAGTGACCAGCAGACACATCAACCTGCAAGTGAACTCGCATGTTGGTCGTAAGTCCCGGTTTGCGCACGGATCTCCAGAGATATGAAGCTTTCAAGTAAACATTAAGTTCATCGGCCATCGTTCACTTTTGGAACGACGGGCAGTGTTTGACGAAAATCACCTGCCGAGATTACAACTACCCCACCCATAAGTGTCTGGTTGCCCCTTAGGTCTGGAAGGGTTCGATCGAGTGCCTCCAATGCGTGTTTGTGGGACGTTGTGCACTCGTGCTACAGAATGACCTCACACTCAAGCAGAACCTTGGCTTGTCCTGTTCCTTTGCTGCTGTTGCAAAAAGGGAATTCAGAATGTGCAAGGTTAAGAGACTGCTTCAGGGTTGAGTGAGCTGTACGAACAACTTGAAGCGACGTGGCAGCAATTCCGGAAGAGGCCACCACTATTGCAATTTTTTTTTAATTTTGGTCGGATTTTGGCTAAGAGCAAGTTGATGGCAAAGTCTCTCCTGTTCCAACTGGTGCGTCAAGGAATAATAAGAAACAAGAGTCGCAGGAAGAAGCATTCAACGTTTTTTGGACGCACAGTATAGACGCGGCCAAGAGCATCTTTTGTTCTCGTGGCATCATACCCAGGTACTGCGGCTCCCTAAACTCGACGCTTGAAAGCTTTTTTTTTATGCTTCCCAAGTGCAGTGCTCGCGCACATCACAATACAGCACCGTTTTGGCGAAGTCATCTTTTCTGGCAGAGAAGGAAAAAGTCAGTGAATGTAGTCTTCGGCGGCTTCTGAACTCTCTGATGTAGGATGTCTTCCGTGAAATAGACGCGAGGCCCATTTTCCGAGTGCACACTCAAAGGAACAACCGTGGAGTGCCGCTTGTGAATTGGAAAATCCAGGATTCGCCTGACTGTCTAATTGCTGCTGATTTACCTACCCATCTGGTAGCGCTAATTTCATCGACTGCGGCTCCATCTTTTTCCAAGCCGGTCACTGCTCTTGTTTACGTATTTGCAGATGTACTTGATGAACTTTTCGAGTTTCGATACTCAAGATTGATGTGGGCCTGAAAGATGCGAGAGAGCAATGGACAGTACGGTACAACCCATTTCTTGTCGATTTCCACCTCTCGGTAGGAGTAGCCAATTTCCACGTTGTTTTTGGTTTTGACACCGCCGTCTTCTGCTCCTCTCCTTCTGTAGGAGGGATACCCATCTTCTCCGGTTTGACTTTCATCAAGTAGATTTCTGGGAAATTTTGGTGCGCTTTCCTGCCCTTAATGCAGGGGTTGAGCTGAGGGTTAGAGCTGGGGTTGACATTACCGCAAGGACCGTGAATAATGTTTTTGACGATTATGTCAAAAAGACAAGGATATTGTTGGGGATCTGGTTGCTTTATACCGATGACGCTATCCATCTGATTTGGCCTAATTTCATCCTTCAGCCATACCAAGATGTGGGCGTGCGGCAACCATTTGCCATTTGACGGAGTACATTTGATGGAGAGCATCGAGTTGGTCCAAATACATGACTCTTGGTAATGAGTTCATGAGCTTTTGCATGGCCGACAAATCGTGGCAGTCGTAATGTGTTTGCCCAGGCATCAACTCTGCTTGGATCTATGGCTACTTAGGATCGCAAGTGAACGTCACGAACAGGTCTGGTCTTCTGCTCCAGAATACCTTCTTTGAACACTTTCTTCCGCCAAGTAGGAGAGGAGTCTCCTATTCAATGTGCCCTCCGGCCCTACGATAGGGGTGCCGGTTTCGCACCCATCGGCATGGCGAGGAGAAAAAGGTGAAAGGAGTGACAGGGGAGGGCACATGACAATAGCCCAGATCGGTTGTCAGAAGAAAACTTGATCAAAACAATATAACTTACGACTTACTGTAGTGATCCACCGATGGGATTACCCCCGGGGTACTGTAATGTAGGTACCTGGGAGGGGAGAGTTGGATGGCATGAGAGGACGAAAAAAAGAGAGGGAATCCGGGAATCGAACCCGGGCCTCCTGATCGCCGGTCAGGTGTGCTACCTGCCCTGCTACCTACCCTGCTACCACTGCGCCATCGAATCCAGGAGTCAGTCGTTCTATTCGATTCCGTCCCAGACCCTACAGTACCCCGGAAAAGTACGCTGGGAGTTAAAATTTTGGATAGAAACATAACCCTCGACCTTCCCCTGTGTGAAACAGGAAGCCATGCAGTTTCCTTGCACTGGCTCCTGCGGGGTCCGAATGCATAAAGGAACAGACAGACAGACAGGCAGACAAACTTTCTTCTTTATATACAGGGTGGGCCAAAAGAAACCGCCCCAACTTTGAAGTTTAATAACGTGGGCCCTGTTGGGCCAATATCAAATTTTAAAAAAGCAAAAAGAAGCTTCTTTAATTTTCTTTTGAATGTTTTTTTTTTCAATTTTAGTGGTTTGCCTCAGGGAAATGGCCGCTATTACAGTTTAAAAAAAGTGACGAAAATTTTTCCTGAAAACAGCAGTAGCGCGACATTGGAAAGAACTCAGGAAAGCTATCGCCTGTTTCTCCCACGCACTCCCTTCGCCCGCGCGCCCCTGCATGATATGGATTGGTTGATGAGAGATCATGCGATCATGAGGCGAGTTACATGAGGCTGTTGTAAATTGTGGAGAAGGGCACGTTGAACCATTTTTGGGTCATGAAAAGGGTATGTGTGCGTGTGAGTGATCAATTCGATGTTGAGGAAAAGGAAATTGGAGTAAAAGCCCATTTTCATTACTCGTGTAGAGCGTTTCGAGAGCATTTAACCGACACCTCGTTGAACTCAACGGAGAATTGAGAAAGAAATTACGACGGTTTCCGCGAGGTACCAATTTCGTTGAAAATTATGGTATGTTCCGCAACAAATAGCATATATTGGAACGATAAAATGACGGTAAGGAAGAAATGCGATCGGCAGCGCATCTTTCCCGGATCGGCAAGTCCTCCAATGGTCCTTGAAGGCCAAGACCAGATTCGTCAGCTGATTCAGATTAATTTCATAACATCTTGCCCATCTCGTATCGACGAGAGGTGAGTGACTGAACGTTTCCAGCCACCTTTTCGTCGATTGCAATTACTGGATTGTTCTCTCGCTTCCACGGGATTGAAATGCCTCTCTCGGATCTCGACGTGAAATCAATGTCGAGATTACAGACAGACATCTATGATTTCAACATCGGAGATTGGAGGGAACCGAGATCGAGCTCATGAAATAATCGCAGTATTTGAGCAACTGACTGGGGAATAGCATGAATTCAACACCTTAGCAATAACGGGGTCTGTCTCATTTTAAATTTGAGTCAATGTTGACTTGAAGTTCCAGCATTGAATCGATCCATGATTCTCAGTATGCTGAAAGACAGATATGGAAACATCGACACTTTTTCTCGATGTAGAGGAGACGTCCTCTTGTGGACTGAGGAGGTGCATCTTTTTTATTTCTTGATATATCGATGCATGGTTGTCCTAGCGATAGAGAATCACGCGACGCATAAAGGAAAGTGAAGTGGATGACGTGCTGAAGAAAAAACCTCTGGCCTTCATGGTGCGTTCTCCATATTTTTCGAGATCCAATCGAGAAATCTAAAGGGGAAGAATGGAGAAGACTCGTCGGAGTTAAAATCGGTAATGAAAGATGGCTAAAATCGGTAATGAAAGAAACAGCACGAACGAATACGAGGAAAATGAAGAGAGGCAGAGTTCGAATCTCACCGACTGACTCTGGTGAAAACACCGTATTGACCTGGGCCCCTCTCGGAGCATTCATCGCTGCCGAAGTAGTGACTCACGATCCCTTCAACTTGCCAACGCTTCAAGGCTCGGGTATAGAATGCCATGGGACTGCCTGAATCTCCGCGACACACCGTTTTGTAATCTGTACACGTCATGCGCAATCAATTTAATCAATATGGACTTCGTGAATTCAAGACCTTTGGCGCAAAAAATTTGGTGTTTCTATTTTTTGAAAGGAGATCCATATCTGTTGTATCGATACGATTCACCAAAGGAAGGAATCAACGGGCTCCATGGCATGCATGAAATGGGACCCACCCTTACAAAACGTCCACCCCCTATCCACTTGGTCAAACGAGCAGGTGAAATGGGGGGTGGATTTGGAACTAGGTGAACGTTAGCCCCGATGGAAATACACCTATCCATTGGCGCACATATACTTAGAACCGGGTGAATTTTCTCTCCCGGCGGATTTTCCCCGGGTGGACATCACTCCAATTGGTGGAAATATCTCCTAGGGGGACATCCACCTGGTTACAAACCCACATGGGACGTGGACGTTTTGTAAGGGGACGTACTCAAAATCTTCAGCAAATGTTGCTCCACGACCTTCCTGAAGGAAACGTGAATGCTCGCTGAAACCACCATTCAATTATCATTAAAAATCAGTGGCACAGAAAAAAAAGGTGCGCCTCTGTATGTCTAGACCTGAAACTCAAAGCCACACCTGTTTGAGCTTCTTCAGGTGTGCATCAACATTTCACCCCCAATGTAATTTTCTTTTCAGAAATTTCCCATGATATTTTTCCAAATCTAGCAATTTAAAGTTCGCAGGGAAATATTTTTTACAGTAAATCCCCCGGAGTCCGGATGGGCCGTCCTTGAGCCCAGAAAAAATGCATCGTACCGCTGTCTCCTCACAATAAACATTTTCGGCATGAAGTCAATGAGCAATTTCCTTCAAAAGGGGTGTTTCAAAACCGTTCTATATGCTTTAGACCCGACCGTGATGAAAACCGACACTATAGTGAGACCGGCACGAAGGCCATCAGGCGCATTCACTTTCCTGTTTCAGCAAGAGATCAACAACTAGTCCGGATTTCCAACTCTTCTTTTCGCAATCTTCAAAATGCTCATGTCTATACTATGCTGGATACTTTATCGAAAAATATGGATTCTGGAAGGAGGTGGTTAGTGCACATATTCTAGAACTTTCTCACTGGGAATAAGGACGAATTCTTTCTTCTTAGAGGAGATTTACATTCCCCTCTCCTGACGACCATATCTCCATTAGTTTATCTATGCACTTTCTTTTAGCAACGTTTCCCCAATGTACAGGTATTCCGAAAATACCGTAAGACAAAATAAACGCGCCGCTCTATGAAATTTTGTGGTACATCTGAAACAGCAGCTAGAACTATGACATTCCTTTCATACACACCTTTACGCATCCTTTGAGCATTCGAAAAAAATGTTACTTGTTCCTTCCAGCCATTTTGGCACAAGAGTGATTTAACAAAAGCAACTGTCATTTTATTTTTGCACTCCCACCTGGACGCTGACAGGAAGACCTGCCGCACCCACGAGGAATGACATTCATTCTTCGGATTTTTCGCCCTCCACTTCAGAGCTCGCTAAGCATATCTCTGACTCACCCTTACGTCGGGGAATTTGCATTTCATAATTTTGCATCCCATGATTATCATCTTGAGAAAAAAATTACTTCTTCCACATGAACGCAGTTTCCTTCAGCTTTGGCTAATTTTAGTCTTCCGTTTCTTCCGTTCCTTTCAGATGAACCGGTTCCTCGCAGCATGTGAATAACAATATGCCTACATTTCCTTCATCTTTGATCATGAAATTCTAGCAAAATTCTGTCCACCGCATCCTGTCGCGAAGAGCAGCTTTTTAATGGGGAGATGGAGGAGCTCTGGCCCGAGATTTCTCCGCTCCACGCCTACCAACTACTCTTCCGCTGATAACGTTTCTTTGCGCAAAAATGAAATTCGAGTCGCCTTCGCCTTTTCGCTCCCGTCCTAAAACGGCTGGAGTAAAACGAGCAAGGATTTTAGGGCGTTTTAAGGATACGTAGAAGTCGTTGCAAAAGAAAAGATTTGCCGTGGTATCTTTTATCTTATGAACTCCAATGAATCTCAAAGAGCGGTGCGTTTTTTTTTATATATATTTTTAATACCTGGTATATGCATTGATTCACGGAAAGAACACCGCGAACAAAACATCTCAAGGAGAAAACACCGCAGGGAAAAATATCGCAACATAAAGACATCGCAAGGAAAAAAACATCAGAAGGCGATAACATCGCAATCTAAATCTACGCTTGAAAGCCTGCGAGCAAAAATTGAAGCTTTACTTCAGTCGGCTTTTAAAAAACCGACTGAAGTACCGAATATTTCGTCTCGTTTCTTCAATCGGGTGGATTTCACGCAAGTGAAATTTATTTAAGGCAAGTAATTAAATTTAGTTTGGGCTACTATTCCCTGTAAACAAGTTGTAAGCTTAGGCTCACTCGGGCCGGTCCACGGTCAGCGAGGATTTGCTTCCCCTGTTGAGTGATGGACACTGTGAGTGATATCTAAAACAAAAAATCAACAAAAATTCATCCAATTAATACGGTGCTGTACCGGTGCATTGGATTAAGTTCTCGGCTGGCAATAACCACGGTGTTGCTACCTCGGTAAGCTCCGGCCCAAGTAGGCCTAAGCTTGCACCTTCTTTACAGGTAACAGTACCCCAAAATAAATTGGATTACTTGCCTTAAGTTAAAATTCATTTGCGTGAAGTACACATGACTGAAAAATTGGACGAAACACGTCTGCTCCCGAGAGGAAATCAACAAATGAAGCAAAGCTTCACTTTTTGCTCGCATGCTTTCGAGCTTAGACAGTCAAACGCATGTTTTTTTTCCTTGCGATGTTTTGTCCGCGATGTACTTTCCACGCACCCATGCATATAACGGGACACAAAAACGCGTTGCTCTTTGAGATTCATTGGAGTTCATGCGATAGACAGATGCACGGCAAATATTTTCTTTTGCAACGACTTCAACGTTTATGCATGACATCGTTATGCTTTACGGTAGTTCAAGAAAAAGGCATTTCTTTAAAATAAATTTAAAATGAACTCGATAATGGAATACGTGGCAGATGTTTCAGATAATACCTCATCTCACCTCACCTATAGATATTGAATGATACTTCACCTCATCTATATCGTGAAAGACTCCCAACCAAAACACATTGAACAATCCATTGAAAAATGCATCCTTTTTAGACGACAGACCTCGGGGGGAAGTATTCCTATCGTGTCCGGCGCAGAAAGTGTTCCCGGTAAGAGATTTTGAGGCATTAGGGTCGTCTGCAAAATGAGTCGTCTCCAAGTGACATATGTCATTCGATACCACAGGGATTTCAATCTCCATCAATTCATCACTCAGGTTATTGGAGCTATCATGGCCCCAAGCAGCCACCTGTCATCAAAACGTACAAGAAACAGGAAATGGGACTTAGGGGAATCATCCTCGAAGAAGTAAAGTATCTCACCCATCCAAGATTTCCATTCTTCAAGTTTTCCTCAGAGAGAATAGGAAATTCAGGTGACGGGAGACATATCAACTGCACTCTACTAGTCAACTTTACTGGTTTGCTTAGTTTGAGCAAGGCAATGTCTGAGTCGTAGTTCAGGTGGGTATAGGTTTCGTATTGGATGATCCTGGACACCTGGAAAGAGGCAATACCGATTCTCGTCAGGTGATGCGGGGCTACATCTGTAAGAAAAGATACGTAATAAATTCTTCGTCACCTCTATTATTTGCACGTATTCGTTGCCCAGGGACTCATTTCGATAATGAGTTCCAAGATGAACGCGGAAGTGTTCTGGAGCTCGAACTCTTGAAGAACCTCTAACGACGACACAATGGGCTGCGGTGAGAACCCATTGCTCCCCGATGAGAGCCCCTCCACAAATGACATCCTTCTCCTGGACGCCATAAATGGCTGCCTGCCACGGCCAGGTTCCAATACCGGATGGCCTCCCTCCTCGTGACAAATACGTCCGTTGCAACTTCCCCCTCGACCCACATTCTAACTCCGGAATAGATTTGGCATTTCGTGACATTCCAAGTTACTAATAAAAAAAATCCTAAGAGAAATAGAAACCGACCTGCTGTACAGAACGGAGGTGTTCCGCTCCATTCTCCATTCTCAGTGCATTTCCGAAGTCGTGATCCACTGAGAATGTAATACTGGTTGCAATTGTATTTCACAACACTTCCAGTCACATACTTTCCATCTTGAATGCATTCCATGTTGTTGTTCTCAGTCGCTTCGGGTAGATTGCTATCATATATCATAGAACAAATAAACAAGAAACACCCATATATTTGCAGAGCCGGAAGACATCGCTTACAATCACGATTGGTATTTCAGTCACTCACCTCTTGTCAATACCTGGGCAAGATGTTGTAAAATGACCATGATCTATGCCGACAAGTTGTCTGCATCCGGCCTTACTGCCATCTGGAAGAGATGCATGTCACGTGTTCCTTCATGCTTTCGGCTACCTAAATTTGGCACTCAAGATCAAACCAAACACATTCAATTTTTTCGTTATATGTTCGGTTGTACATTTGTCATTGATGACTGCACGCACGATTCATCGGTGAAGCAGTTCTTTGCCCTCAGATGATTGAAGCTATTTAGGGTCTTCAAAAACCTGGAAACTTCAAATACTCATAAATATTTACAGAAACATCAGTCCGTCCTGTGCTAATGCAGTTCCTGCCTTAAATAATTTGCTAGATGTGATTCATCGAATTTCGTGCAACAGCTCCTCCGTGGACCCTTTTAAGCGGAACTATAAATTGTCAATTCGTCCTGTCTGCTAGATAGTCGAAGAAATTCCTCTGGCCGTCTACTTGTGAACATCGTCTCAGGGGACCCGAGCCCCTCATGTTTTCCATCCACATTGCGCACATGCCTGTGTTAGAATCACTTTCTGTGATATATAAAGAGTCCTTACACTGAGAGCTCGAATTTGTTTTACTGCTTTCGTGTTGCGTCTTTATATGCTTAAAAGGGCTGAAAGGACAGAAAAAGGCATAGAGTGCTTCAGAAAGATATGTACTTTGAAGTAACATCTTGAATTGTCGATGAAATTCCTTTGTCGTGCTTCCAATGATCTTCAATTACGAAATGCATGAATGCGATGCTTCGGTTGCAGGGTTCTCGTTCATATGGAGCTTCTTGACGGAAGATTTTAAAGAGGACTCGTGTGCCTAGCAGTAATGAACAGTAATTGAATAGAGAGGGACTTCAATCGCATCAACCAATACCTTCGAAGCTGAAGGGGTAGTCGGTCTCCTTCGAATGTGTTCCGCTGGCACGGGAAATACATGATTCTCCGTGTCAAAGTGCTAATAACATCCAGGGGCACAATTCTCATTTGCGAGGGGTAGGAAAAAGCAACGAAACTAGAAATATTTTCCCGTCCGATTATCACATCCTGCTTTTCTCAGAGCATATAATGGCTAGCTCGGAAGGCGATCACGTTGTTTCACCGAAACTGCCCATTTTCAAGGGTCAAGTCATGATAGTAATACATATTCAGTAACGAAAAATGGGGGCATAGGGTCCTGCCGAAATATGATACGCCGTAATTGTAGGTGTGGCAACTTGACTCGAATGACTCCGCAGTGTCGAACAAATGCGCTACAAGACTCGAATGTGGAATTCCTCTGCATCATTTGGTAATCTGTATATCCAACCATAGCAGCCCTTGTTCTTAATGTCAGCTGGATCTGTTCGCATGATCTATGACCATGCGTTGCACTGACAGGTTTAATAAGAGTTCTATTATAAGTAGGTCTTGAGTTACTGGTTTATTTAAACTGAGCTTGGGAACACTGTAGGAGATTCCAACTTCAATCAAAATTGGAGTGTCGGGCGTTAATTTTCAACAGTTTTGGGTGACATTTCATGGAATGACTAATGTAGCTAGTGCATGCTGCAAAACCCAGAGCAACATTAGATCTCTTATATTTTGGCATTATCATGTTTTCACAGTCGCCAGCTAGTGGAAACTACAAGCTGGGGACATCCGTAAACGATTGTAATTATAGTCATTAAAGCCAGAGCTCTGCCTTATTTTCCATTGAAAGAGAAGCAGTGAAGTCCGCTGCTGGGAAGACGCACGTTGATTCATTCCATCTCGCTCTCGCATATGCCTAAACTAGGATTCGAACGTACTGTTCGACTCTCGCGCCAACCGATGAATTTGCAACGTTGGAGAGAGCATGTCTGTCTTACGAGGTAATAAGTTCAAACTGATGGGATATTTCATACGCTCTACATATTCCTGAAGAAACTCCTGCACTTAATTGAACTTGAATCCCTTGTTCCGCAGAGTAATTTCCAAGGAGTTACCCTAAAATTGAATCAGGATTTTTTCATGTCAAATATCTGAAAGCCCCCTAATTTCATATTTGTCTCATGATAGAAATTTGATGGGAAATAAGCAGTACGACATCGGTAAATAATTATTTACAGGATAGCAAAGAAAAAATACATTAAATTTGGTTATATTCTTGAATATCGATTATATATCGATAACATATTTTTGAATATCGATTATGATGACAAATTTGGGATCCCCCAAGTTTTCCCTTTTGAAGAACACCTCGTTTCGTGAAATCGGACTATTACTTCAGATTTTACACATGTTCCCACGGGAAGACAAGCAGTGATTTGAAATTTCGTATGTGCGTAACCTTTGGACAATTAGTCAGAGTGGGAAAAAATGGGCATATCTTTCCATTCTCCTAAAATATATTCACATACCAAATTTAAAGAAATTCTAAGATAGAGCCCTGTTAAAATCTCTGTTAGATTAAGTAATTTGGCATGGAATGACCCATTTGCCCCATGGCGTGTTGCAAACTCACTTTGGTGTACTGGAACCTCAGGGTTTGGGTCAGTGTCAGGAGGTTTCGGTTCAAACTCAATCACACCACAGACCATAGTATTGTCACCAGTCGAACGAGCATCCTCTTTGGATACAGTGCCTTGTTTCATCCAGCAGGTACCACCATTCCATGAAGTCCAAGTGAAATGAGAACATCCTATGGTAGCAGCGCACCGAGGACCACAATCTTCCGCACGAATTTGAGCGCTGGACAAATCATTTCCAGTAAAGTCACATCCCAGAGCCCAATTCCTTCCAAACCAGTCAATACGGCCAATACTAGGAGATCCCTTGACCCCGCAAACCATAGTATTGTCACCAGTCGAACGAGCATCCTCTTTGGATACAGTGCCTTGTTTCATCCAGCAGGTACCACCATTCCATGTAGTCCAAACGAAGTGAGAACATCCTTTGGTAACATCGCATCGTGGACCACAATCTTCCGCACGAATTTGAACAATGGACAAATCATTTCCAGTAAAGTCACATCCCAGAGCCCAATTCCTTCCAAACCAGTCAATACGGCCAATACTAGGAGATCCCTTGACCCCGCAAACCATGGTATAGTCACCAGTTGAGCGAGCATCCTCTTTGGATACAGTGCCTTGTTTCATCCAGCAGGTACCACCATTCCATGTAGTCCAAACGAAGTGAGAGCATCCTTTGGTAGCATCGCATCGTGGACCACAATCTTCCGCACGAATTTGAACACTGGACAAATCATTTCCTGGAAATTCACATCCTTGAGCCCAGTTGTTACCATTCCAGTTTATGTCGCGTTTCATTAAATCAGCAGACACAGGGTTGACCGCCAAGAGAGGTACTAATGGAAAAACAGAGAAATGAGTCGAATTAACAATTTTTCATTTGGACTTAAAAAACGCGATGGCATTCATATTAATGTTCGTGTCCGTTCTTCTCCATGATAATAGCAATGCTGGTAAAAGAGAGAAGTAACATGATTACGACACATAGAAATTTAATTATGTATGGTTTTTAATTATGTCTGGAAAAAACATTTGGATGAAAAAGAAAAGTATATTTATGGCTCCGGCAGAGAGGAATTTAATTTAGCACTGAATTATGGTTCCCAGTCAATTCCCGATAGCTAGTTCTCCTAATGTTTATTTCCCCGACAGGGCAGTTCTCTGAATGACAAATTCCCCATTTGGGATATCCCCTATTAATGAATTATCCGATAGTAGCACTAAGGAAATGGATTTGTTTCCCATTTATGTTTCCTGTCTCGCACATCATGCACGGGGGAGTGAGGGGGGGGGGGGAGGGGGGGGAGATGCGGCCGCCCCCCAACTGAGCCGGAACCAAAGCGAGGTCCAGGCGAAGGGAAGGAAAGGGCAAAATATTCTTTAATCCTGGAGGGGAGAAAGTCAATCAATCCTTTGCCTCCCACCTAAGGAAACTTTGTTCATTTAGGGACCATGACTACCGATACAATGCCAGTCAGATCACAGATAAAGATTCTCATGGGAAAGGGGAAAATATGGGAAAAGGCCACAGAAACGGTTGCAGGATAATCCTCTCAGCCGCCAGAGATGAGACGATCGACAAGATGTTTATCAAAATCTAAAACGGGACTATATATGGAGAAGTAGGGTGGCTTAGGAATTATTGAATATATCATTAAATGGTCATTCTTAGACGTGTAAGAGTTCGTGTATTCATGGAGTTTGGGAAGAGCGAAAAGGGCAAGAATCTTCTTGTTCTTGAGGGGTAACTAACACAGAACAAGATGTGCAAGGACGGACGAAGAACGTATTTGGAGTACCTCTAAAAAAGATACAATAGGAAACTGCAATTTCAGAGCTACAACTAAAGGAGAGCGGGTTGTCAGCGGTTGAGGGCAATATCATCATGCTCAGGAACCTGGAAAATTACAAGCCCGCCAGGTGATCGCAAACATTTTGAATGATGCCAAGAGCACGCAACAGAATACGGGTTAGTGGAAGAGCATAGTGCAAGTGCATTATTGTTTCATTTTCATTCCCGAATCTATTAATACTATCCTGCATTTTCAAAGGAATCAATTTCCCAATGTCGAGGTCACAAGTGTAGAACCATTACACGATTTAATAATTTTTATGAAGAAAAATTCGTCATTCAATGTGTCATTCTCGAATACTTCCTGATCGATACGCCGGAGAGCGTATGGGATTAATTTAAAGATGAAATATTTTAAATTTTAACTGTACATTTCGAGTATGCTTTCATATTTCTTACCAGCATCCGTTTATTGGAAAAATTCCTTGTGTAAAAAACCTTGGTTTTATCATACCTCTAGAAACCTTGAAGCTAGCCGATGGCAAAAAAAAGCTGATTGCTCTCATCACTTCATTCCAGGACAGATTTTACAGGCGAATTTCATGGGACTGA